TTTTCGACGTGGGATTAATTATAAACATTGCTACTTTAATGATGTTCATTCATTTATGACAGACCAATCCCATCTTTTTTAGATCAGTCATATATTGCATGCGCTTACTACGTTACGTTACGTTGATACCACCTTAATTGATAATTGGTTAAACTAAATCGATGGATTTGGTATGCTATATTGGTATTGATATATGTTTCATGAATTATATATGTAGAATATATATCGGTTATAACCTACCAGTATTAACATGAGACTATTAATTATTATTTCCGATATTTTCAAATGCAAGATTATATTCCTATCCAATCGGGTAAACATATGATTTATTTGTTCAAACAACAGTTTGAAACGTGATGTAATCCACGGATAAGCTTAAATTTGCAAATACTTTTGGAAGAGTTAAATATGGATAATAAAATATTATATATTTCCGTATAAATAGGATATATCCCAAAATTTATGGAAATCCAAGATTCTAGTAAAGCATTATTTATCTTTGGATACAAACACACTCATGATGAGTCATGATGAAGAATAATATATTATTTCTGTTTCTTTATCATTTTGTCACCTGATTAAAACGCAAAAATTTCAAGCTACGTGACTAGAACTTGCGCTGGAGAATCTGCAAACCCTAGCTTGTGTATAAACAAGACCTTGTCTACAAAAGTAACCTTTGGAAGGGCTGCAATGGCTGTCTTCTGAACACACGCAATTCCCTTCAAGGGCACATCCGTCGTACTTAGGACCTTCTCTTCCAGACAGAATCTCATCAGACCATTCACTTGAAAACATATTCGTAGGATCTAACTTGTTCTTCACTTGCAAGAATTTGTCAAGGTTAGGTCCACACTTTTGCTTCACGCCAAAGAAACCCACTTTCCTATTCTTTCCCCAATGCGGCTTAGCGCCGTGTTTGACAAACGCCATCTGCTCCATCTCCTCCATCACATCTTGGTTCAACCTCGGGGTCAACTCATCATCCGCTCGGTAATAGTTAAAGTCAACAACCACAGAATCCTCTGTCTGGCCAAGATAAGCATCTGAGGCCTTGATGAAACGTATGAGGATACCGTTATAGATATCAATCCCGCATAGTCTTTCCGGTTTCAAGTCTCGTAGCTTCTTCACATCGAGGAGAAAGTCTCTAAACCTAGAAACCGTAAATATAGCTGTCGTTTCATAGAAGAAAAGACCGTTATACCTCGGATCCCATGCACAAGCAACGTCAATTCTAAGTGAAGATGAGTAAAGGCAAGACCCTGAAGTCTGGATCTTGCCTTGTCTCCCAATAACCGGATATCCGGTAAAGAGTAAACCATTGTTCTTTAGACCGTTCCCGGTTAGTTTCTTGTAGGCCAATGTCGTATCCGCCGTGCCGCATTTTCCTTTCTCGTTCTTGCTAGATTCAAGCCCCTTCTCTGCAACATTTTCAATTCCAAAACTTTTGATACATCTAATTTAACCAGACTAAACTGGGAATGTATGGTAGGTTAATGTATTGTGAGCCGTATACTATAAGTAAAGTGGAAAGTAACCTAACCTAATGCTCGAATCCCTTTAGAGATCAAGATAGGATTAGACTGAAAACCAATGAAATCGTTTACTCCATCGCCGGAGACGTTGACCGGTGATCGGATATCGTAACGGTAAACCGCAGTTCTCTTAGAAGGATACCAAGTTATGTCTCCGAATTCGAATCTCTTGCCATGCTCCATAAAAACGTCTTCAAGTGCTACGTCTGTTGTGAAATTATACGTCATGCTTCTCTTGAACCCTTTCTCTATCGTAAGCTTAACCTACAAAAATTATATAAAAAATGATTTAAGAAAACAAAAACAATACAGTAAAGTTAACGGCGTTAAGTTTATTATACCTTTGAGATGACGCCTAAAACACCCAACGACAATTTAACGGCGTTAAGAAGCTTATCATCTTTTCCTTGTTCGAGGCTAACAACCTTGGCGAAACCTTCCGATGAATCCGCCGGAACCACAAGGCTGATTCCGACAACATGATCATGAACCGAACCTCCTCGTCCCGACCACGAGCTTCCATGGGATCCGGTACTGATCAGCCCACCGACACTCACTCCTTCCCAATACGGCGACGTTCCGATACTAAACCCAGCGCCTTCAACTTTATCGATCAGCTCTCTCAACGAGACACCGGAATCAGCCGTAACCGTAAGCCTGTCCGGTTCAATCTCGATAACCGAATTATACTTCGACGTGCTGATTAGAATTGCGTCTGAACCGGAAGGACAAGCGAGTTTCGGTATGGTGTGAGAGAACCTGGTGACGGTTTTGACTTTGAGATGATGCTCAGCCGCGTAAGCCACGGCTTTACGGAGCTCCTCCTCCGTCGTTGGATAAGTGACGTTAGCCGCGCGGCAGGTTTTGCGGTCAGGCCACTTGCCATACGCGTTGGAGACGGTGCAGCCGGTTAGGTCGCATCTAACCGGTGATTGCGGTGGTACGGAATGAACGGTCCATATAGTGTTGACGAAGAATAAAGATAGAAAAGAAATATAAAGGGTATAATGTAAATAGTAACGCATCCTATATATGATTATGCAGAGATAATTATGTTCCTCTCTTTGGATCTGTGACCTTTGTTTTGGAGGTTTATGCTTATACTTATGTAGAAATGAGTTTTTTTTTTTTTGTAAGATGATGGAAACATTGCTTTGAAGGAAATAAAAGTATTGCGGGATCTTTTTTTTATTTAGTTTTTGATTATCTTATGATTTTGGTCTATAGGATATTTTAGCTTAGAGTGGCTTAATCATATCCTTTTGTTTCTCGCCGCTCGTTTATCCAAAGATGGTAAGAAATATTTTAAGAAGAATGGTATAATCTTAAGATCTGGGTCAGAAACCTTAACTTATGGAAAATAATATTGTAGGTTCAAAATTGAATTACCCACTAAAGTATTTTCATCATTCGTCTGCTAAAAAACAATTGGTCTAAAATAGAGAAAAGGATGGGAATTGACAAAATAATTGATCTGACAAAAAAGTACGAAAGCAAAAGCATGTTGTGTTTTGGTTTGATAACGGTGATAAAAATGATTAGTTATAATTAAATTAGTTTAAACGATATGTAGTATTTGAATATTGGTTGATACGTTTTTATTTTTTTGGTTAAAAATGTATATTATGTAAATGCCCTGTTATCCAATTGGTTAATACTTATTGAAAGAGAAAATATGTTATAACATATTTTAAATGGGTGTTTTTTTTTTGTTTTTTTTTAAATGGGTGTTTACATAGAAAAAAACATATTTTAAATGGGTAACAAAATTGGGTCGAGAATTAACCATTATTATTATCAATGGAGTAAACCAAACGGCAAACAAACCCTCTAAACTAATTGGTTTCCAAGCTTAAGGTGGGAACAAAACCCAAAACCCACATCACTCATCCAAATCCGATCCAGCTTTTGTAGGACCGAACCGATTTTAAAGTTTTTGAAAAAAGTTGGTCAGTGACTTGGCCTGCTGGCTCATATAAGATTTAACCCTATTTCACTGTTTATTACGACGGATATGATAAGTTAAAATCAAAATTTGAGTTTTGTCGTCTAATATATGCATCAAGTAAGCTTAATCTAATCAAAAAATAACTTTTTCAAACTAGGAATTATTAGCTTTCTTTTTTTCCTTTATGAATAGTATGTTTTGGAGTTTAATAACTTTTTAGACGACCAATATTTTTAAGTAAATTCAATTAAAAAATAATTTTGTTTGGTAATAAAATTACTTATATAAGAAACTCGGACACAGTTTGAAATATATTTTTAGTGGTAATTATATAGTTACTATTTAATAATTGGAGAGTTTTGCGTCGTCATATACAATATATATACACACGAATTAGATATGCATGCCGTTTATGGTGTTTCCTGATTGACGGTATAGTTAACCATGTACAGTATTAATAGGTTTAGACAACCCAAGAGTCATAGCATACGTTCTTTGGAGGTTCTAGTCTTTTAAAGTCTTACGTAAGAAGTGCTTCACTTTCGTAAGGAGAAAGAAGTTTACTTAGGATATGTGATGATTTTATTTATTCCTTGTGTTAACTGATAACTGGTAAGTCTCGTTATGGTAGCTAGCTACTAGCTAGAGCAAACTTAGCTAGTTGATCATTAACTTAATCTGTTGAGTGATTCTATTACTATTGCCTTTATGCATGGAGTGATAATCATATTATCTATAAACGAGATATCTTCGTAATTATTCTATTGAAAGACTATGCATTAATTTGACCCAAAGAAAGGCTGTTGTGCTATAGCCATACGTGAGGTCAGTTTATAAATATGGAATGTAGATTATAGTAGCACATTTCGGATTAGTATAGCCGCCGACCAAATTATGGTTTGGATCGACTAATTTCGTTTGCGAGCTTGTCATAATTGTATGATTTGGCTCAATTCATTAATATTCATCATAATTCAAAAGATAAGATCATGATTATTTTTTCATGCTGAAAAGATTTTTTTTGAAGAAAACCTAGATCATTATATTGTTATTTACACTGTATAGTTTTAGTAACAGAGTTGCTATGAAATGACTTGGCAAATGTTCCGGCTGGTATCTATGGAGGTGCCTCTCTCAACTATAAATAGAGACAGACCACCCTAGCTCATGCACATGTTTATGCCAATAGGTTAAGTAGGAAAATGACCAATCCATGAACATGCAAGACCACTTGAGTTTTCTTATTTCCAAAATATACTATGTTTTAGGATTGATGATATTAGAATTTAAAAGAAAATTAAAGTACTACTGTACATATACTGTTTAAAGATGAATGTTCCAATTTTACTCACTGTCAAATATTTATTTTGAGATATTTTGATCCAGTTATCCAAGCAAGATTTACACAGTAAAACATGTCTTTCGAAGGGTAAAAAATATGGAAATATATTCCACAGTAAAACCTAATAATTTCGACATGTACTAGTTTATAAATCTAAATAATGAAAAGGGACTAATAATGTAAATATATATATATATATATATATATATATATATATATACACACAATAGAGAGGAGACAGAGACGAAGGCCCACAACAATCTTTAACAAAAGAACAACAAGCCCGTGACCCCCAAATTATATAATAACTAGCTTTCAGTTTTTTTTATTATAATTTTTCTTTTTGTCATCTGACATAATCTCAACCGTTAGATTTCATTTGGTTCATGTCCCATTCTGACTCAGATCCAACCGTCCATATTCCTCTAGTGTCTTCAATAGTTGGGCCCCTTTTCTCCTCCCTCTCGCTGTACACTCTCCTTCCAGCGCCAACGCCACCGCTCTAGCCACCTCTTCCGCCGGCGCCACCGCTATCTCCTCTCCTCCTCCTCCTCCTCCTCCTCCTTTCCCGTATACCACGGAGAGTATGCTTATGGCGTATTCTCTTCCTCTCCCTGCCAATCTCGCCATTACTGCCACCATCGCCGGCACCGTCATCGCGTGAGCACGTACCTCCGCCGCGCCTTCCGTCGTCGTGCACATGAGCTCCAACGCGGCTAAGGCTCGTTCCACCGCTGAGATCTCTAGCCCAGCCGCCGTTTCCACCACTGCTCGAGCGGCTCCAGCCTCTACCGCCACGTGGCGGTTTCCTTCGGCGAGGCAGAGCGCGAGGAGGATTTTGGTGACGTATTTGGCCGTTACGATCTTGTTGTTGCTGCGAAGGCAAGAGACGAGGCCTCGCATGAGACCCGGTGGACAAGTTGGATCAGAAGGCGGGTCGGGTACGACGACACGTTCCAGTAGCTGCAGAGCTAGGAGCTTGTCGGATTCGGAGACGGACGTGAGGTGAAGCTCTGCGATCTGGAATGTTTCTTGGAGAGTGGTGGTTACCGGAAGAGGCGGTGGTGGAGGAGGCCGAGGAAGAGATGGAGCGGTGGATGGAGTTTGGTCAAGGTGATGAGGGAAGCGCCATTGAGTGAAGCTTTGAGAAGTTGAGGTTGAGGAAGAGGAAGACGAGGACGAGGTGGTTGTTGGTTTACGGCGAGGTTGCTGCTGGTGAGGAGAGGTGGGACTGAGGACGGACTGTGTGCAGCGGCGGAAGAAGCCACAAGAGAAGAGAGGACGCGGCGGCGCGTGGGGTTTCGGCTTTTGGTTTGCTTTCATCATCGCTTTTCTACTTTTAAGTGAAGTGGAGTGAAGCGAAGGGAAGAGAGACAAGTCTCTTTTTTAAATAGGAAGAAGGAAAATAATTGATTCGCACCAAATTTGTCAGGCGGTACTTACACTTGTATTCTCCCTAAAAAGATTATTACTCGCACATTAAAATCATTAAATTTTATTTATTATAATCACATGTGTGTGTGCGTCTCTATGGTCCCATACGATTTTGACGAGGGTTTAAGTAATAAAGGCTACAGGTTTGTATTTTTGGATCAATCATTATCTCAAGACGATAAAATGGTCTAAGAAACATAGGAATCTATTATTGTTGTACAAAACAGAGGCTTCTATAAACTTTAAATTCATAAGGTTCAGTGCAACTCTAGAATGTGAGAAAAGGTTACAAAGCAAGAGTGTGCTCATTTTCCAAAGCCTAACATCAGGATTTAAGTTAAGCCAATGGTTTTTCTCTACGAGTGCCAAAAATGGTTCATAAACATTCTACAACTGTGAAAAAAACAAAGAGGAAGGTATTAAAACCTTTTAAGGATCCAATCACCTCCATTTCTCGCTTAATTCTTTCTTCTCTGAAAGGACCCAAGTTATGTAGATGGCTGCAACCAGTGCTACAATCGTGATCAGGAGAAGCGCGTAGCTGAAGTCGTCGGTCAGTGAATCGTATGTCTTTGAAGGAGCAAGCCTTGTGTAGAAGAGATCCACTCCATAGGCAAAGACGTGTGTTGTTGACTCTAACTTGGACGGAGCTGTTACTATGCCTCTTAGACCTTCTACTTTGTGGGAGTGTGTCACGTACGACTGGAAATAAGACAAGGTGCATCAGAAATTTTAGAATCGATACAATCACTTTATCTAACTGAAACCAAACCAAGGGCTGCCTAGTCAAGGAAAATGGCTTTGAATGAACCTGAGGAATTATGGGTAATGAATCCGTGAGAGGGATGATTCCTTCTTCTTTTTCAGCTTGAGACGGGTTAAGTGTCCGGCGTGGATCCACAAATCGTTTATCAAGTGCCAATATCTAATCATATATTGGAACAGTTCTTAGTATCAGTTTTTCAATCCATTGAGGTACCTAAATATGAGAAGAAATGTACAAACCTGATCCCCGATGGTACCAATGAGAAGATGCTTTGATGTTATACCCTTTGCTGTGGATGTCACTGCGATGGTTTTCACTGACTGAGCAAAGAAGTATGACTGTGACTTTGTAAACACCTCTGGTCTAGAGTATGAAGTGATTGGCGCTGTTAGATTGTGCTTTCCCAGAATGAGTTTCCAGACATTTTTGTTCTCCTGCAAATAAAATTTATAACGTTTCACAGGGCGAACACTTAATCAACTGAAAAAATTGTTTTTAGTATGAACTATGAAGTCATACCGCCCTAGACTGATCATAGATCTCAACGACCGTAAACTCGTACTTGTGAGCTCGAAGATTGAAGTAGTGGTAAACAACCCAATTTTCACTAAACACCTGCAAACAATTCGAAGGCTAAGAAAGTTGCATTGAACCTATGGAAAAAAAAAAGGAGATGATGGAGGACTTACTGCATGGACTGGCCCTTGACAGCCTTGATGTGACAAACGGTGCAGTATCCGTCCTGTGATGGTGTCAATGAGGTATACTACAAGTGATGATTCCTCTGGTGTAACTGAGCCAATCTCACCAGCACCTTTTGGTGAAACGGTGGCCACAAACATTAAGTTTCTTGACACATATTTATACAACAGGTCTTCTGTGTTGACTTTGGCTTGTGTATGAACAACCTGGAAATAAAATTCGTATGCAAGTCATGATTAAAATAATTAAACATTTACTGAGAAGACTACCCGCGAAAGGAAACACAGCAATCTGTGTATACGATGAGTAAAACACTAACAAGAATTAAAGAGCTTTAATTTCGAAACCATGATTTATACCTCATTAGATTTTCGTGTTAGTGTCGAAATAATTTTCTCTGATTCCGAAGGAAACACAACAGTCCAAAGTTCTCTGGTTGTAAAGCAGTACTCATCTGCAGTCTCACCAGAGCAACTGCTCTTCATTACGTGTCCTCTGATAATACCCTCATCTGCCTCAACAGTGTACCAATATACATTTTGAAACTCGCGTTGAAAGATGCTGAGAGCCTCTGATGTTTTCGGATACAAGTGGACGTGGCCAACAGTATCAGCTATTAGATGTAAACGTTGTTCCGTTGAGTCTGTATATGGAAGAGGCATAACTTGAACAACAGAGTGACCAATATCTGATGAGCTAATCTCCTTTCCCGTGTACACATCAACAAATGAAAGGACACCAGGCGCACTCGAATCTGATTCGCACCTGCCAACTACAAGCACAGAAGGATTTTTGTCCATGGCGTGATGATGAGGGACCTGCCATTGGTACAAGCTAATGCCGTTTGGACGTTCACAGGTTTGTGATTTGCTATGAGAGTTTAGCAGCATGGACCAGACAATCCTCCCATCTCCAGTGTGCAGAGCAAAAAGTTTTCCAGCTCGAGTAAGTGCTAAGATTAGTTTCCGAAAGCCATTATGGTCACGGGTCAGTTTGTTCTTTCCAGAACTCTTCACCCTCAAATCTTGAATTGCTACCACGTCCTCGGGGCTTGCTAGCAACAAGGACCCCTTAAGCTTTAGCACATGCCCCTACCAAAGAAACAGAGAAAGTTCAATTGAATAGGGTGAGAAAACAAATATAACACATCAAATACACAAAAAAATAATACAACTCTAGGGAAATTAAGAAAACCCAACCAAGACGTTTAGGACCTTCATACCTTAAGCCACTCAAAGAGAGTGTGCTCCACTTTTGCCACTGATACACCATCCTTTTCCACAGGGAGTTCTGCCGTTGTAACATCAGTCACTGAAGCCAGGGCTTCTTCCCTGCTCCAAACAATCGCCCCTTGTTGCAGTAACAAGAGTGAGTGATCTTCCATCACAATAAGGGCCCTAAATCCATTGCTCCTGTCTGTCCTGATATAATTGTTCATGAAAACTTTATGGACACGGCCCCTTTGTTGGTCCATTTGAATGGTCTCTCTAAGCAATACATTATCTAATTCATTAACAAGTTTCACCATGAGGTGAATTTTGCTCCCTTCATGATGAACTGAAGCAAATGCCTCCTGATCGTCCGCAACTGGAAGTGAATCACTCATGGCTGTTTCATCAGATAATGAGTCTACTACCTCCAACTTTCCTTCGCCACCAACCTTCACAAATATAGTGCGTTTATTGACTTTTACAGCAAGCATGTTGCTAAGAAGAGGTGATAAAATCTCAGCCTTTCCAGAATTCTCAACAAGATCTGAAATAGGGGTCTTCTGGAAGCTAATATCTCCATCTACGAAGCCAATCGTAACCAAAATTGACCTCGTCGAATCAAGGACAACAACTTTATCGCTTGAAACTGATGAAATTTCGCCAGAAAATCCACCAGGGAACACCCTACTTTTTTGTGCCACTACCTCTCCACTTTTGGAATCAATCTGATAAACAACAGCCTCAGATAAATTAATGAATCCCAGCACAGAAATTATACTACTTCCAGGAGGTTGAAGAACCCGCTGAACTTCAAACCTGCAAGAGGAACCATAGAATATTAAACACCAAAATCATTATAATATGTATGTCTGTACTTAGAGCAACCTCATTCAAATATACAGTGAAGACTGTCATACCCTTCCGCTGTAAAATCCTTTTCCCACAGGACCTCACCATCTATAGCAGAAACAGCATGAAGGTACCCACCACCGAAAACAATAATGGGGTAGTCCTTGTCAACCTTCAAATTTATCTGCAAGATATCTCTAGTTCATTAATAAGTAACCATGGAACTGATGACGAAAAAAGATTGCAGTTACTATCATTCTTCAATGCCCTATAGGTCAAAGTTGTTTTCTTACAATAAGAAAAGGATAGTAACAGTTGTCCTCCGTAAGAAAATAACACAACTCCTACGCTTGTATAACTTACCGGCACCGATAACAGTGACTTTGAAGGTTTTGCAGTATGCAGAGATGTTTCCCACACCATTTGGCCATCAGGAAGGTTCCAGGCTCTTAAAGTACTCCCTTCTGATGAAAGGGTAATAACATCTGAAACAATTTGAATCCAAGAAAATAGAGTTCAAGACTGTAGTACATTACGATTGCAGGTGAAAGCAAATATAAAATATCCACATGTATTGATGATGATTCTTACATTTTCCCAAGGCAATACCAACCCCATCGATAGCATCTTTAGTCCCGAGAACATGCCGCCAAACTGCAACAAATCAAAAACCAAAAGTAAGAAACAAGGGAAAGAAAAAAGACAGAGAGCCATAACAATCATAGTGGAAGATACTTCATGATTCAAGATGGATAGCAAATATATGAATAGAAATATTCTTACATATCTCCCCATGTCTGAGATCGAGTGAGGCAACGACATTCTCCTCGGTTGAGACAATAACACGCTTTCTCCCAGTCTTTTGAGTGTGGAATACAGCATGCTTCACTTTCCCGATGTAACGTTGGTGCCTACACCCAGTACAACAGTGACTATCATCAATGAAAACACTTGTAATTTCTATCGAATTCAATCTTATGTAAGCAATAAGAGCAGCTCAATCCGATCGCATCTCAAATTCACTAGTGTTGGAACCAGATCCTTCCATGAATCATTTTATAACACAATTCACTAGCTAAAGAGATCTAAAGAACCAGTAAATCACAGATGCGGATTGGGTTGGATTAATCAGATTGGCGAAAAGCTCTACTTAAGACTTATAAATCGAAAGCTCAGTAGTAAGTAAACATCGAAACTAATAGAGAGAGTGAAGAAGAGAAGAGTTTACCAATCGGTGATGCCGGCTTGATCTTCATAAAGGGAGAAAGATACAATTGCAGATGATAAGAAGAGGAGAAGGGGAAGAAAAACCCTAATCCCCATAGCTATATGACGATTGCTGACTAAAATTTTAGCTTCAGCAGATCTGGGGGAAGATGAAAGAGAGCTTTTGGTCTCTCCGAAGCTAATCGTGGGAGGCTTTAACTAAAAGCCAACAAGGTCTTCTTCTACCGAACAAACCGAATATTTTTTATTTATTTTTATTTTATTTTTGACAACAGCAAGCGAATAAGTTTTTTTTTTTTCCTTTTTTATTTTACTCGTACGTATATTGTTGAGCGAAGTTTAAAATCCACGTATGACAATGCGACATTTATCAAAACTAAATAGTAAATACTAATTAGAACAAATTAAAAAAAATTATAACTTTTACTTCCAACGATATGAACAAATTTGTTAAAAAATACATTTTACTACACAGATATGTTCATGTCGTATCCTTCAGTACCGTTGACTTCAGGAATTTAGTTCCGAATGGTTGGGTTAGCCGTACGGAGCAGTACTGCATCGTGTTTAAAAACAAAAAAAAATTAGGGTAAAAATGTATGAAAAACGCATTCCAATCATCTTTATTGGAAGACATAACTCGAGTTAATTTTTGTGTGTATTAAAAGCTTTAACAATTATGATATTTAATAACAATTGAAGATGAAAATGCGTCGACATGTTCTGATACTTCTATATAAAGGAATATAATGGAACACTCGTTCATCTTTTACATATAGTATTCTCTTCACAATCATCTTGTTAATTACAATATGAAATATAAAATTTTACACACACTTGTGGTTATATATTACATTTACCATAAGATTTGGCACACCACACAAAATACACAACATTGAGCACAGATAATCCCACAAAGAGCCAGTAGTAATAGTCTAAGTGTCCCTCGTCTATGTTCTCTGTGATCCAGCTCCCACACGTGGCGACGTCTACGATGGTAATGATCCAAGATGAGATGAGGCTTGCGGCTGACATGCCGAGGCTGGAGAGTGTGGTGGCGACGCTTGACATGGATTTGGGAAGCTCAGAGTAGAAGAACTCGTTCTGTGCTATCGTATTAAGTGCTTCCGAAATGCCTCCTAGTATCATGTACGGTAATAGCCACATCGCCGATAACATCGTATCTCCCTCGTCTCTCTAGTGAATGTGAATCAATCAACCACCACGATTATTTACACCATAATTTTAGATTCAAACTTATTTTTGTTAATACATATTTATAGGAACACAAAGAAAATGAAAAACAGCTAACCGAAATCCGGATTGAATTACTTACAGAGGTTTTTTGCCTGTCGTGCTCCACAGCCGCAAGAGTGGAGATGCACACAACCGATATTACATAACCAGCTCCCATTCTCACCATAACTCCCAATCGGAACGGCTCTCTTAGAGCCCAAGAAACTAACGGGACGATAACAAGATCGTAAAGAACAAGGAAGAGCACGAAGGAGATGACCAAGAAAATGCCATAAGAGCCTGCAGGAATCTGGAAACCCTGAATGAAGGTGCGGCGATCCATGGCCTTGGCTTGAAGGACTATGAAAGAGACTTGGCAACCCGTGACAAGTGACAAGATGATTCCCGTTGACCAGATGGGTAAGACACTGATGAGAGATTTAAGCTCTTCTACTTGTTGAACGCTACATAGCTGCCATTGATTGCTTGATTTCCCTGTTAGAGTTAAGACTTGCTTCGGGTTACTTATGACGCAAGCTTTATTCAAATACCTATAGTAAAAAGATATTTTGGGGGAAAAAATCAATAAGACGCAAAATTGTTATATGACAAATATTACCACAAATATAGTATACCTCAATTTTTGGCTAGGAATTGAAAAGGAAGAGCCTATTTCGTGATGATATGATATAATATACTCCTCAGATGACAAATTGATGTTTTGGTTTCTGAAAGCAGCAACGAGAACCTGGAAAAGTCCAGCGACAAGGCCGGACTCACACTTAATCCTTACATAGTAGGGAGACGCCGCGAAGAACAAAGCGACGGATAGAGCCATGGCAGCGACAGAGACTCCAAAACCGATCTGCCACCCAAACGTCGTCTGAACGAAGACCAGCAACGACTGAGAAAGAAAGCAAGCGAGCATGACGGAGAAGTAGTACCAGTTGAAGAGGGTTTCTAGGGCTGACGTGGCGGCACGTGATGATGTGTGGTTGGATTGGAGCTGGTCGGCGGCGAAGGCCAAGCAGGAGGACCTGACTCCCCCGGCACCTATGGCGGTGAGGACAAAAAACGAATATAGGAGAAAAAGTTGGAGCACTGTGGTGGGTTGGCACACGTGTGTTGATTTATCGCATTCTGGTCGAATTATTGTTGTCAACCATAACAAAATCATCCCCTGTTGCTCATTAAGATTAATCAAGCAAAACATAAAGAATGAATAATCATTATGGATGAGTATAAGATGATTGTCATTGATGTGTAATGTAATAAGTGATAATTACATGCATCATCATCCGGATGTACATGTACGTATGGGTTACTTGTTGTTAATCAATGATATTTGGGACTAGCCAACGCTTTTGCAATAAAATATGGATGTTTATTTCTAACTTGTTATATATATTTTTTTGTTATTTTACCTTGCAACATACAATAAATATAGTTTATTTGAGTTTTAAATCTATTTTTGAATGTAATGCGTAAGGTACCAGAAGGCTGAGGGATGATCCAAACCCGATCAGAGGAAACCGGCCCGTGTAAGAATCAGCAATAAAAGCACCAACAAGAGGGAAGAAATTGGTGGCGGCAGACCATAGGAAGAGGACATTGGCCGCTTCCGCCGTTCCCATGCCGTATTCCACCGTCAGGAAGAGTATCATGTTCGGTACCAATCCAAAACATGCAAGTTTCTCCAACGCCTGACTTGCTATCCAAAACCATTTAACCAGGCATGCATCAGAAAAAGAAAACATCTATCTATGATGTTACAAACTTATAAACATGAGAGTTAATCATACCAAGAATACAAGATATGGTCGGAATACTGCGATACGAGATAGGTCTTCCGACGAGAAGAGCTTCTTGATCCATATTTTAATTTGGAGATTTTTGACTCTTGGTGGTTGTGCTATAACCTTATGTTTTGATAAAAAATGTCACTTTAATTATATCAAACTGTAAACAAAACAAATAGTATATATAAAGTGTCGTACCTAACTGGACCCTCTTCAAAGTTTTTAATTAAGGAATTGGATATATTAAAGTGTTGGTGGTCTTGTATTGTTTTGTTTGTTTGTGGTATGAATCTTTATAAAATGCAAACAAGACATATGCTTACTTCGTTTTAAATTTTGAAATAATTTAATCTCAAGTTAAGCTATTTAACAAATGGGCCTAATATGGGCCTAATATGCAATTTCAAATACACTACAACAACTCTGATTTTGCAGCTGAGCTGAGAGAGAGACTGTGACTGAAGATATATTTTTTTCTTTTCTTTTGGGATGATAATTTGTCGTCTTTTGATCGGTGAAAGCTTTCAAGAAATTTGTGCAAAGCGTAACTGAGCAAAAAGCCACAAACCTTATCCGTCTACAAAAAAAAATAGCTCACCGAGAAATTCTCAAGCAGTAGCAATGGAAGAGAAAACGCCGGCGTTACCGATTTCTGAAGACTTATCCCGGAAAATAATCTCTCTTGCCGCCGGTGAAGCGCATACGATCGCTCTGACCGGTGATGGATGTGTTTACTCATGGGGAAGAGGAATGTTTGGCCGTCTTGGTACGGGTAAGGAATCGGACGAGCTTGTTCCTGTTCGAGTCAAGTTCGAGTTCCCGGATCAAGTAGCTGGAGATGGGCCTCGAATCGTTGGAATTGCTGCTGGTGCTTATCACAGTCTCGCTATCTCAGGTGGTTTCTTTTCTTCTATTCTCAGTCAAATTAGCTCCTTTGTCTGTATTTATGTACTTCCCCATTCGTGAAATGAAAAAGTATGTTTGAGTTGTATTTGTGTCTTATACAAATGATGGTAATGTTTTAGCTTAATTAAGTTGGATTTCGCTGATTTTGGTAATTGAAAACTGGAAAGGCTTGTGAGTTTAGTTGATACCTTTATAGGACCATTGTACGGACATTATCTTTGTTCGTGATTATTTTATTTGAAGTTGATCAGATAAGGATCTCTATTGACCATTCTCTTGTCTTTTGTTTCTTTTGCCTTGTAAGCTTTTGGCAGATGATGGCTCGGTTTGGTCTTGGGGTTATAACATCTGTATCCTTTATCTGAGTGTTACAGTTTCTAGCTTTTTAGTTTTCTGTTTTCTACGTTGTCTGCTACAATCTATTGTGTTTTCAATCCTTGACTGATAAATGGATGGCCAACTTGGTTTTGATGGGGACAACTCCTTGGCACCATACTTGTTCAAAAATTTCTTTGAGCAAGGAGGATCTAATTCCTCTCTAAATGATTCAGGTAGATCAGATTTAAAGGTATGGTCCTGGTAACGCTTTAGTGTCGGTCTATAAGTCAAAAGCCTGAACCATAACAATTTTAGTTACGCTTGTTAGGTTTGTTCTGTCAAGGCCGGATCCATGATGTCGCTTGCCATTGATAATGTTGGAGGTCTTTGGATGTGGGGGAATGTTCCTCAACAAGACAGTGGGGCTGAGCCTCGTGTGACTATTACAAGCATCCCGATTCCATTTCCTATACCCGAGTTCCATGGCCGGACTGTTTTGAAGGTAGCATGTGGGGATGAACACGTTGTTGCCCTCGTTGGTCTGGGGGGGATCCACAAAGACACCAGTTGTGATGATTCTGTGTTGTATTCTTGGGGAAATAATCATCATGGACAGTTAGGGCTTGGGGATAGAGAGAGCCGAGCAAGGCCTCAGATTGTGGACACATTTAACCAGAACTCTGGTCTTACAGTCTATGACATAGCTTGTGGTGCTCATCACACAGCTCTTCTCACCTACAGCAAAGAGACACCGAAAGGACCGAGCATTTGCTGGACATTCGGCTTTGGCGAAAATGGTCAGCTTGGGCATGGAATTACCAAGAGCAAATCGATTGCAGAGCCAGTTTCAGAGCTCCCTGAACACACTTATTTAGTTTCTGTAGACTGTGGGTTATTCCACACAAGTGTTGTGTCATCTGAGGGATTTGTGTGGTCGTGGGGAATGGAGAGAGGTCTAGGGTTATGCCCCGATGTCAACTTTACAGATGTGGAACCAGGAGATGACAGTATACCAAGAAAAATTTCAGGTGGTTCAAGATTTCGTGACCCAGTGCAAGTTTCTTGCGGGGCTGCACATACAGTTCTTGTGGCAAATGGTGGTTATAAGCTGTGGTCTTGGGGACGAGGAAGAAATGGAGTGCTCGGGACTGGGAATGTTAGCGACAGTTATGTCCCTACTCTTGTCTTCTGGCCGAATGAGCTGAAACCGGAGAAAGAAGAAGTACCTGATGCTGAAAAAAGCGCATCAACCGAGGAGATTAAACGGCTAGAATCAAAGCTAATGGTGATGGAAAGATATGCAAGCATACTGCATGGATCCATATTTGGAAAACCGTTCAACGAAGAAGAAGATATTCCATATTCATTACGGGTTACCGGGTATTTTGATATGGGCAAAGAGTGGGGAGAGATGCTGGAGAGTGCAGACAAGAGTCAGCTAATGAGGCTTCAAGCTTTCTATGAAGACATGATTGGTAGGGTTAAAGACAAGGTGTTGCAGAGAAGGATTCAAGAGATTATGAAAGATTGTCTTCAATCTTCAGCCCCTAAACATTAAATATCACCTGTGTGTTCTAAAAGCCAAATTAAAGACCTTTACTTAAACTGACAATAGTTGTTTTATCTTCAGTTTATGTGTGTTTAAGTGTTTTGTGCAAATGATAATCAGAACGAGTTTTGTTATTTGGTGTTCTTGTTCGACGAAATGCACAACAGATTACCAGTATAATTAATTAAGTCGACGCTTCTTCATTGTTACTCTTTTGAGTACTATTTTTCGTTTTTTTTTCTTTCGCAAAATATATAATCCAAAAACCAAAATATGTGATGTTTGATACAAGTTCATGCAATTAATAACATCAGTCGCTATAATACTCTTCTCATGGGCTGGTTTGGCACACGTAGCTTATTAAACTTTCGACACTTCATTACTCTCTCCATATTATCTTTTCATTCTTTATTTGATCTTTCGAAACCTTTTAGAATAGTCACATTGTTTGTAAAAAGTCTTTTTGTTGCAATAAAGTTTAACATTACAATCACAAAAAGATATGTGATGTTATACTATGTGTTGGAAATGTTATTTATTTTTAAATTTTACTCAGATAGGGAAATATTTAAATAATAGAAGAGAAAGTTTTTAAACTAAATTACCAATCGCTATGTTTATAGAAGAAAAACCACTGAGTTACTAAAATAAAAAAGGGTTCTTGGTTTAATATGAGATAATTAAAGTAGACGTTTAAAAAACCCCTTTCAACCTTTTAATTTGGAAAATTTTCGAAAAGAATGCTATTTCTGAAAGCATAAATAAAAATGTGTTTTTGAGGAACCGCTTAATTTGTCAAAGAAAAAAAAATCCTTTTTGATAATCAGTCCAAAAATTATCGTATTTTATCTTATATGTTTAAAATTATTGGTACTGTAGTATCACATCATCCAACAACCAGTGCAGGACAAGAAAAGATCATCCAACAACCATTGCAATGTCCTTTCATATTAAATTCTCCAACATATAATATATATCAATGTAATCATTTTTATTGCCAACTCACTATTAATTTTATTTAGAAATATATATACTAGTATTGAATTCGATTTATGTTTGTTAAAAGTTCCAATTTATATATGCTAATTAAATTAGGAGAGTATAATTTACGCATTTTATAAATTCGTACAAGCATTTATCGAAGGTGGGTCTTAAACTTAAAAATGTTTTTTTTTTCTTTTTTTTTGGTGAAGGACTTAAAAATTATTGTATACGTACGCACATTTTACAGTTTCTAGTTAAGAAAAACTAAACATAGTTAGTTAATATTTTTTTGGAAAGTGACATATATACTCATTTATCAAAATATATTTCCCTTAATGTATGTAGATTAATGATTTTCTTATATACTAAAATAAGGAGAAATTACGACATGAAGTGAGTCAACGTAACATACTGTTTTTGTGGGAAAAGGAAAGTGAGTCAACAGATAATTTTAGCTGGAAGTATTAAATTCTTTAATTCAACTATATATGGCCATTTGGATCAACTGTAAACTTTGTTATTTGTTGACAAATAATTAAAGTTACTACTTTTAGAAACCATGGTGTGTTATAATGAGAAACATGTCGTAATTCAAACTCTTTCGTCGTTGCCTTTTTTCTCCTAAATTTTGTAACATGCATTGAATAAATCTGTTCTACCAGTTCTATCATATATCTGAAGCGGTCATACATGTTTTTGTTTAAAAAGAAAAAAAAAACGATAAGAAAAGAAAGGTCATGAGACTCAACTTCTAGTTCTATCTATCTAGATTTGAACCACGTAATGCACGAATACTCTCACACATTCACAGTGTTTGGACACACTGAAACATAACGTAGATTTTGTTTTTCTTTAGCAAAAAAAACGTAGATTTTGTTTTTGTTGCTTTTTTGGTATGTAAAATATTAATTAATAGTTTTCTATTTATAATAATAATACGTACTGATCATCTTTAGCCCAAAATTTAATAATTATGATAACACTGGTGCCAATTTTAACCTAATTAACGGAGGTAGAAGAAACAATTTAAACATATAAAACGTAAAGTGTGCTGGTGCCTATTAGTTTCGTTGTGGTAGGAAATGGTCGGCTGAACCATAGCTTGAGAGGTGAGCTGGCTAGCTTTGGATTGTATTCTCCGAACGAGGTGGCTAGCTCGATTCCGGTAAAAGATAGTGATATAGTGTAAATTGTCAAGTCATGTTAATGGTAATTTAAAATTATCTTCTTAGCACTAATATAGGCCTGTCTACCAACTATTTATATACCTATAATCGCTTAGCTAGACGTTACACGTTGAATTAGTACTCGATCTATTGGCTAGCACTTTTTGCATATTATACTAATATTCAATATTACTAAATCAAGCAGCACTAACCCAAGATATTTGTACGTACTAAAAATATATTAAAAGCATCCTTGAAATAGCAACTGGCAAAAGAAAGTTTTCCACGAATATTGTCTTTTAAAAGACAATGCTTTATAATACGGAAATATTCGAGTTTATAAAAAAAAAAAAAACTAAAACGCTATTGCCATGGGTCGTTGCTGTTATCATTGTCCTCTTCCTTTGTTGCTTTTGTGATCTTTTTACATATAAGAAGAAAAAAAATTAACTATCATATGTTTCATTATAAAATAAAAAAGTATATTTAAACCTTTAACAAAAAAAAAGTATATAGATTTCTTAATAATATGTCAATTTTGATACAGTAAGATAATGGACCAAAAAAGGAGATAATGGACAAAAAGATTTGAAGGCTTGATAATGACACAGACATTTATATTCATAAGATAACGTGATTTCTATGTAGATTGCAATTTCCTCAAACGTCAATAGTTTTGGCGTTTGTATATGTTTTATATATCACATATATGTAAACGCACATTGCATTAATTTGTCGTTTGCAGTTATAGTTACAACTTACGAGTCTCTGAACCGGATGATAATGCCAAATAATTAATATGCATGGCTGACCGGCCGTTAAATTAGTTTCTTAACCCAAATTATATATTCTAATTCTTAGTTTAAGCAGATTCGGTTCTAATGGCCACCGTCAATTAAACTAATCCACTAAATGTGATTAACCTGCCGACTTACTTGATCCCTAGATATTTAGAACAAAAGCATATTAATGGAGAATTTACAAGTGGTTCAGATACCCCTTTTATTTTATATGTATAAAATATGTCAGCATTTTTTTGTAAAGTCGTTTTTGACGATTTTGGTCGAAATCTCTAAATAAAGTAATAAAGGAGTCAATGATTCGTTTTCCGTTTTTGGAGTTTTGCATAGTCCCATCATTAGAGACACATAAATTTTGATTTAAGAATTTCAACACCTCACAAAAGATATGTAAGAAAAAGTAATGTCGGATCCACTCTAGATTTGCGCGGTATAAATGTCGTTTAATAAACCCCTAACGAATTCATTTAATTTATTCGTAAATAGTTAGTGGGGAAATAGGCAGGGGCTACGTGATTAGATTAACATGAACCAAAATGAAATCCAAGTGACAATTATACCAAGGTGAATTAATCCAAAATTAACAAAAAAGGACCAATAACACTAACTTTTTTTTTTTTTAGTGGTCTATTTTTCAAGTTAGGTTAGGGGATGGTTCTAACCTAATCGAATATTTAGTGAGTGTTCGTTTGTATAGATAACATCAATTAATCGGTTTGCTTGTACGAGTCAGGTTACTTAATTCCATAACTCTAATAGCTGAGTCAAATTCTATATAGTTGTAAACCTATTGTTCATGCTTTTTTTATTTTTACTGTGTGATCATAGTTTCGCTAAAAAGAGCGTGGAAGTAAGTGATGCTATAATCCATTAACTCGTTGAATAATGCTACTATCCACCAAAAGAAATATAAAAAGGCAATGTAAACACGTAACAGCCAGAGAAAGAAAATCACGTTAACAACTAGCAACGTAAACATATCATCTTGTATATATAATAATATTAGTTATTTTTGTTTCACTCTATTGAAATCATGGATATAAAATTAACAGCTATACTATAAAATTTGATCAATGTTTGTTCCATGTCCCACATGACTAGCTCTCGTAAAAAGAAGTCGTAAGGGGTAATAAATCCAAAAACTTTCATATGTTCATCAAAACGGATCAGTGACATCATTATTGCATTTGTTTTGGTAACAATAGCCTTTCTATTTAACCCAAGAAAAAGACAGTAGTCTTTATCTTGGACAAAGCTTGTCGTTGCATATTTTATGATAAACAAATGGCATGTTGAAAATCTAGAAATACTTTTAGAGTTTGAAAACTATTAGATACATTTAGTAAAGCCAGAGCATAAATCGATATGTAACCTCGAGTATCATAACGATGACTAAGACAGTTTAATTTCATGGATATTCCACTTTAGACCAAAGTAGTTTATGGATCATCACATTTCTTTCTCATCATGATTATAATTATCCTAAAACCAAGGTGTGGGAAGTTCAAAAGATATGCATTTGACAGGACTAGACATGTCACATTCTTCCTTCTCCCCATACTATGATCATTCGTCATTCATGTCTTATAGACTCAAAATATATTATTAAGTCTACATTTATTTTAGGGATGAATAATATCTAGTGTCAACTAGTTCCTTTTAAAAATTTTAGCCTGTCCAGTGACACACTCTTACATTTTCTCTGTAGAAAAATAACATTCTCATTTAGCTTTAACAGAATTACCCTTGAATTAAAATATGTTCTTTTTAATACTATAAACATTGCACGTTAGAAATTGATATTGGGTGCTGTCGACAGAGTAATAACTATCGGATATTTTCTGCAATGTGAAAATGTTCACACAATTCGAAACCTTTAACAGACTTTAAAAAACTTTCAACACTTTTTAAAGTTTCTTGTTTACTGGAGTATAAATTTCCAATAATCAATATTAGTATGTTCCACTAGTATATATTATACAAAAACATTAGTAAGTTTTCTGCTTTTTCATTATTTTTAGGAACTCTCTATAGAGTTTCTCATAAGTTTCTCATGTGAAACATTGTTGTTCGTCTCGACATTCGTTGATAGTTTTCCTTATATAAAAAAAAAGAATTGCAAAATCTAATGTCTACTTAATTCCGAAATCATTTTAGTTGACGAAAAAAAAAACATAAATCATAAACCAATAAATCTAAAGTCCTATTTAGCTTCTTAAACTCACGGAAAGAGTTTAGCCGCCACAGCGGTGATCGATGGTAGAAGCTTTTACGACACAAGTTCGGCTATTTCTCGAATAAATAAGAGAAGGTAATAAGAGACATAAAATGATAGAGAAGGAACTCCCTCAGGGATTCACGTTATAAGACGAAATTAGTGACCCATTATATTCATTTTAATATTAAACTATATAAGTTCTTGATCTGTACATTATTTTTCGATTGATGATCATAATGAAAATTTGATAAATTAGTCTTTGATCTAACATATCGTAGAATCAGAACCCAAAAAAAAAAATTAAAAAGAGAAGCCTTTTCTCTTTCTAATTGAATAAAACGAGTTGTATGATGCTATCGTGTGGCCTATATTGTCCAACAATTAAGTGGGAAATTTTGGTCATTAATATACTAATAGATGAAATAAAGTATATATTGCATATTTGCATGGATGTATATGTATACATAAGTGGCTGTGTAATGTTTGCGTCAGCTTGGACAAGTTGCGCTCTCGCTTCTTTTTTTTTTTTTTACCCTAACTCACTGTCGACGTTCCATTTATGTCGACAAAACAAGTATCAATAGATAGTGATCAGACTCAAAATTTTCAACTAATGATTAAAGCGAATGTCATATATCTTCTCGTCAAAGAAAAAAACAAAAACAAAAACACGCAACAGTATTGAACTTTTGATGATTTGCATAATTACAATATCGTAAAGTTAGTGGACTTTTATTTATCGCTTGTTCATTCATTCACTTGATAAGACTTGCTCAAATATTTCACTTTTTTCCCCCTTATTTTCCGACAAACAAAAACCGATATTTATATATATAAAACACGAGTAGAGAGTTTTTGTACACGTATCATTATGGTGCTCACACACGCACCCGAACCCAAAGAAAAAACCCTTTCTTAGCTAACACCACAAAACTCAAAGGAAAAAAAAGAAAAGGGTTTTAAAAAAGAGATTAAACATAACATTATATAATTATAGTGATGACATAGAAATAAAACTGTTAAAGATCCCATGACAAGCCATGGCCAAAGTTAGGGATGACTCCGTAACCGTAGTTATCATCTGACGACTGTCCCCACGGCGGCGGATATAAACAGTAGTCTACTGAGTCAGAGAACACGAACTCGTTCCCAAGCGTAGCCGAGTCAACGTCGTAACTCGCTCCAAGACTTGGCAGCTCCACGATCTCACCTAGCTCCTCTGACTCGGTCCTCACCAAAACAAGAGACTCAAGCGAAGACGTGGAAGACAGAGAAGAGGACGACGACGTGGAAGATGAAAACGAAGTCGTCGTTGGCTCCATGTGAGCTGCTTTGAGAGCTGCTGTCTGAATGTCTCGAGGGCTAAGCGAGACTGGTCGAGGGAATGAGTCAGCGAGTTCAGGGAAGTTTAGTATAGCTGATGTTCCTTTTATGCTCAGAGCAGCTACGTCGTGTGCACGCGCCGCCATCTCCGGAGTCGGGAAAGTTCCTAGCCAGATACGTGACTTCTTCCTCGGCTCACGAATCTCCGACACCCATTTCCCCCAGTTCCTCATCCTCACGCCGCGGTAAACCGGGTGCTTACCGGAGTCTCTGGCACGTTTCGTCTTCTTCTCGTTTTTGTCACTCGCTGAGTCAGACTCCGAGTTAGGGACAAGAAGCTGAGGTACTCTCTCCGAGCGGAGGCTGTAGTATTCCTCTGCCATTGTGTCTAGCTTATGCACAAAAGTATCGTACAGGTCTATAATATTCTGATTGCTCTTTTATTGGATTCGGATCCCGAGATTATTGCAAATGGAGAAAATAAGCTTCAGGGGAAAAACAAAACACAAGTTTGAGAACTATTCAAAATGAGGAAAGAAAAAACAGAGCAGTGCAAGTGATGAAGAAATGAGAGAGAAACTTTTGTAATGTTGGTGAAATTTTCTTGCTCTATCGTTTCTCAGTCACTCAAAATATTTATATATGCATTAAAAATATATATATTTGGGGTTATGGGTTACAATTTAGAAGAGAATGGGACCAGAAACAATGCAATAAGTCTATTGAATAAAGGAAAATGGACCCAATGCTCTCTCTATTTATATATTTTGTTTTTCTTTCTTATATATATATATATATATCATACCCCCCACCCTATTTTCTTTATTACTATACATGGCTATTAGTATAAAACGACACACTTGGGGTGGTCACTGTTTGCTTTAATGGTTCTTAAAAATCATATTATGCAACTAAATTAGGAAAGCAAATCATATACTTTTTATATATATATGATTACGAGACGACCATATTTAGAAGGGCTATGTTGAAAAACGACTTTGTTCCCCGCCGGGTACGTAATATTTATATGAAATTGTCTCCGATCATGAACATGTTGAGACTGAGACTGAGACAAGCCTTTTCTGTTTTTTTGTGTGTGGTAAATAACTTTTCACCTCAGTTTTACTGTTTAATTATCCTTTACCCTTATTATTCGACTCATTGTATCATCATCATACATCTGCATTTATAACATTTTTATACATACCTGCTCATGAGAACCCAATCGATGTATGCATGCACATATATATATATATATATATATATATATATATATATATAACTTTTATCTTGATTAGAACTAAACGCATAGTTTCTTGTCTTTCAGATTCGAGTAGGTATTATCCATAGAAAGGGTTTTTTTAATCATAGTAACATACTAATAATTAAGACATCTGTCCTGGTCTCATCTACAAAACAATCTATCAGCCCATTGTTATTGATTAGGTTAAAGTTAGTTCTAAAGAGAGAAACAAAAAAACAAAATAGACAGAGAAGTACATGTTCGTGTAATAATAATACAAATAAAGAAAAGAAGTATGCAAAGGAAACTTCAAGAAATGTCAAGGGACATTAACTTGTTCAATCATGGGACCGTATTAGTGTACCTATAAGGACGAGTTTCTGTCAAACACACATAATATATTAATTCTAAAGTCTTCTATTAATCATGCCAAACTGAAAAATAAAAATAAAAGATCTTCTAACTAATCATCATTTTGCTTTTTAAATTCACAAATATAATTGCAATAACTGAAGTATTTCCAACGAACGACGCTGTTTCTTCCTTCGCCTCTCGTTTCAGCAATACGTATATGCATTTTATATTTTGATCATATGCATATTTCTAATTTATCGATAAATATATGCTAATTTAGTAAAATGACCGAAACTGATCACTACAAACCCATTAAATTAATGGTATCATGCATGAGGTTCGTTTATATTATAACTAATCAATACTGTGATGAATAAAATGATTCATGTATACTATATCACATGGTAGAACCTAACCTACCTATTTCATTAACTTTTTTTTTTTTGTCGACATTTCAGTAACTACATACAAAGGATTTTAATTATATTTAGCAATGTGATACGTGGCTAATTAATTTTAATTATGATAAGATCGTTCAAGCTTCTTTTTACTCATTTCAGAAAATTGTCTTTTAGTTATGAATGGAGACCATCTCAATAAACGAAGCGGACCCTCTTATAAATAGATGGGGAGAAAACGATTTTATATTTATGTTTATTTTCTTTTTGGTCAATTTTATTTGTATTTATTTAGGCAGACAAAACCAAATATCGATATCTACCGACTATGGTTTTATTAGGTATACAGAGACCATAAAGTCGAAATTTTCGAAACAGGTACAAAATAAGCCTTTTGGAAAGAGAACTTTTCTTCTTCTTCATATTCTTGCTTTGCGTTCTCGTCATTTGGTAAGATTTAAAGATCTATATTAGGGTCAAAGATCGCTAGCCGAAAAAGAAACAATTATAAGGGTCAGCGTTCAATTATGAATGCAATGGAAAAACTTCAGATACTTCTGATATAGGTCCTGTGAACTCATTTTAAAGTTTTTACGATTTTATAATAATTTAATATTGTATATGTTTGTGATGGAAATTTATTTATTTTTCTATATAGGAAATTAAGCCACATGTGTTTTAAACTAACCTCTTCAGGAGGATGAAAATCAAAGTTTATTTTTATCTTCCGCACATCAATATTTTTTACTGTTTTTTAGAAAGCTCGACATGTCTAAGTTTCTTACAATATATAAATTCACTCTTTTCTAACACTTAACCTAGCTTCGGTTCGCGCGGACCACCATAACTGCGAGACCACAACGGTATATGTAGTAATTATGCTTGAGGTGGGTTTGCGGAGGGACGTTTCATTGTGTTGTTTTCAGAATAAAGCACATTTAGAGAACAAATGTATGCTCTCTCACCATATGTTCTTCTCTGACGTATGAGCATATAATTAATTTTGTAGTTGATGATATCATGGTGGGTATATAGTATATATGTATACCACATATATACATCACTATCTTGTGTATGTTCATTTGATAGACAAAAAATTGACAGATAGAGAAAAATGAGACACGTCGAGATGTAGGACATTTACTCTTTTACATGTTTTTGCTTTGGAGAGTGGTCAACGAAACACGCAAATGGTTGTCGTTTGGACCCATTATTCACATCTTGAATCGCTAAACATATTTTAATATCTATATCGGATCGATGAAACATGTAAAACGATATTAATCTGCATTAAGACATTTATCTGAAGACTAGATAAAACGTACGGTATCAGTTAATTTAGTCAAAACTTCATTTGTTGTATCAATAATGCTCGCCGTCGAAATGAAATGAAAAAAAAAGGATGATATTTTGGATTCGAATTTGATAATATATACGTGTGAGTTTACATACATATAGCAGAATTAAAAAATAGATATTTCTGTCTTAGATTGGGACTGAGAAAATTTGTTAAGATTCATAGAACTCGTTGTCATGAAGATTTCATTAGGATCATGGGATAAGTAAATTGTACAAATGTGTTGGAAAAAATCTAAAACACCGACACGTAGGACTGTATGATGGAGATCTGGAACAGCAACATTAGCTAGCCGTAAGCACGATTGTTATACGACCAAGTGTCAACCGAGCTTCGCGTTTTAGCAAAAAGAAAAAGTAAAAAAAAAAAAAGAACACTCTTCTACGACTACAATTATTTATTTACACACGACTCACTAGAAAGGAGAAAGATAAAAGAAAACAGAATTATATTTACCTAGAATATATAGACATTCACATATCAGTATTATTATATAAAAGTCGTATTGGGATTGACGACAATGTATGCGTAATAGTTTGATTGCTACTATTTAGTTTAAGATTGTTGATAGATCAGTGTGACCAGTCTAGGGAATCCATTTTTATTTATTTTTCTGTTATAAGATCATTTAATAGGATTAGACCTTTCGATGTATTAGATCATTCTTCTTCACTTACCCTTTACTAATGTATATATAATTATGAAAAGTTAAAAATGATGAAAAGTTAGAAAACAATTTAAAGATTTGTGTAAGAGACAGACAAAACATACAAAGAAAACATGATTCTGACTAGAAAAGTACATCAAACATCAACAGTCAAAATTCACCATCACCATTTATTATTTGCCCACTTCTTCTTATAGTTTTCTTTTATTTATTTACTCCAAAAAATTTGGCAAAGAAAAAACATACTATCATTATTGAAAGAAGATAGATATTGAAAGAAGGTGTATTTTGACTATTGATTGAGAGTGCCTGACTATTTGACAGCTTCAGTCCTGCTGCTTGTTTGTCACATGCAATTGCTTGGTTCATCATATAGCTATAGCCCACACAGTGTCTTTGATCAGTATTGTTCCAAACGGCTATTTTTAGAGGCACACAATACAACAAATCTTCTGATTTTGTTTTGCTAGATTATATTTCCGGCCGGCCGTGTCATCAGAAAAAATGAACTAGCACGTTTCCAGAAATTTAGATCTTAAAGACTTAAACTAACGCTATATTAGCAAAATAAAGAAACATGATATCAATCAAATTGTGGTCAACATGTAAGACGAGTTCTTTGAAGATTTGTTACATTTGAAAAGTGTTCAATGATTTTGAAGATAGCAAGAGCAACATTGAATACAGATGATGTGAATTTATATCTTGAGAAGAATATTAGAAACAGAGATATTTAGTGCAGGGAAAACTCAATCATCAAGGATATTGAAAAGTCCGGATGCTACGTTAAGAGAGATGACGATTTGAGGCAGGCTCATTTCAAAAGTTGTTAGCGGTGTTAGGGCTAAGAACTTTGCTTCTACGCCAACAGCTCTATACTGATTTTTTTATATCATGAACACATCTCAATGGTCCATGGAAAACCTTCTGAGGATCTTACAACAACTATATATATCTGGTCACTTATTCGATAACTTAAGGTTCTTGATCTCATATGTCATCTTTACCTAAATAACGAAACAGAGCATTTAAGTTTGTATGGTTTACACTTTCCTTCTCTTGTGGCTTAGGATGAAATCATCATCATCGTCCTCTTCATCAACGACTTTCTTCTTCTTTCTAGGATCTAAACCGCTGTTCTTTGACGCATATGTCCTTTGAGAACTCTCGGCTTTGCTAGTATACGTTGGTGCCGGTTTAGTCGGTGTCCCCATTCGAATTTGCTTCATCTTCCTCTGCTTTTTCTCAAAGGCTCGCTTTGCCTTATCCGGAGACAACATACCATGTTCCATTAGCCTGTTTCAACACATTCAAGTTTTATGCGCCTATAATGAGCCAAGAAGAACAATATATTAATTTCATCTCATAAAGGAACTTTTCAATAGTGTATTGCTCACCAGAACTCAGCCATTTCGCTTCCTGTTATTTGTTTGGATAAGGATTCGTAAAATATCCTCAAGGGCTCTCTCTGCAGATGCAAAAGACAGAGAAACCAATAAAAAATAAAAAATATAATCAAGAACATGAAAAAAAAGGAAAGATTTAGTAGAGTAATCATTAGATATGTCTTAGAAATTAACCTCTTCAGGAGGATCAAACTTTTGTCCGGGTAATGAATAAACCTTCTTCTCTCTTTTGGCTTTCCCTTTGGCTGTTGCAGCAGACGTTGTTGCTGTAGATTTTACAGATATTTTGGGCTTTGCCTTCACAAAAGTTTTGCAATAAATATGTTACAAAATTCAACCTAGACACCAAAATATCCAAAATCACGTCATGATTGAGACTTTTACATAGATGATAAAAGAGATCTCTAGTAATATCATCAACCTAATTCCAAAATTTCATCGCAGTGACCAACCTAGCTAGATATTGACTCTAATCTTTAACAATTTATCAAATTCAGAGGAATGAAGAAATTTCAGAGAACCCAAATCAGAAACACGCGATAAAAACTTATAAGACAGAGACTTTTTCCCGATTTGGTACCTCTGATTTCGCCGTGACGGTGGAAACAGAGGATCTGGGTTTGTTATCCGACATGATCGGTTTGCTAGAGGTAACGATTTTCTTCTTGTCTTTAATAGACGGATCGATCTTGACTCTGGAAGAAAGAGAAGAAGACCCAACGCGTGGCTCGCTCTTAGCCGAACTTGGTCTCCCCTGTGTCGCCATGAAAAGCTCAGATTTACCTGAAATTCTTTAGTTCAGCTCAGCTACCTTTATTTTCTGCGTGAAGAAGAACCCGACAACGATTCCTAGAAATGTGATGCAATCTTCCGATTCAGTCTTGCCGCTTTCGTAGTTTATGTAGTGAAACGGTAAAAACTGAACAGTTTTAACCATAATTTAAAATTTACATGAGGAGTACCTTTTTAAAAAAAATTCTTTCCTACTCCTAATCACCTTTATTTATTGATTTGGAGATTTTTTTTTTTATAATTCTAAAATAAATCTCAATATATTCATATGAAATATGTTGAATCATCAATCTTTAAAAACATAAAAATAATGAGTTATCTACAATCCGAATTTGAAGTAAATTGAGGTAACAATCCAACTTTATTATATAATCCTGGTGAAACCATATGGCTAAAACGTCTGAAAAACCCGGTTATACCAAACGGAATGAAGAATCATATGAAATATATCATACCGAACCGGTTCATCATCATGCCACATGAAATGTTTTTGAACCTTGGACACCCTCTTGTGCATCTCCACGTATCTTCTCACCGGAATCGATACAAGAATCTTCCTCAGGTTTGGAATCTCCTTCTCCGGCACAAACACAGCGAAAGATTCCCAGTTCAGAATCTCAAGAAACGGTGGCACAAAGTTATCAGAGATAATCACCGGAACGCAACCGTAAAGAATCGACTCCACCACTCTAGGGCTATTCACCTCGTACCCTTTAGCGCAAACGCAGAACCTACTTCGTTTCATGTACCGGATATATGATTTGTGATCGATCCGGTTAAAGATCTTCATATCTGGCTCGGGTCTCGAAGACCAATGGTTGAGCAAGATGGGTCTGACGTAACCGTGTAGGTTCCCGGCGAAGAAGGCGAGGATGGTTCGCTTGGATGGACGGTTACCTCCAATTTTTCCGTTTGGGTTTTGTGCCGAAGAGACTTTCGTTTCCGGCAACGAGACGTCTTTTCCGACCACGAAGTCTACTCCGACATCAGCATTACAGAGTGATCTAATGCAGTTCATGTATGGCCCTCTAGTCTCAGCTGGAGCCTATTATAACAAATATGAAAACTTACATTAAAAATAACTAATCATAAATATCAGATCATTTCATTAAAATCTTTTGTTTTGACTTTTAAACACCAATTTACTTTTTTTTTTTTGGTAGAAACCAATTTACTTATATATATATATATATATATATATATATATCTGTTTTCATTTAAAGATATATTTCCATTTTTCTTCAAAAATATATGTGAATTTCCATTTTTTTCATAAAATATTCTTATTATGCTTTTATACTTTAAACAGACAGGTACACTTTATAGCTTATAAAAAGGAAACTTCAATATATAGTGCAAGCCAAAAAAAATATGGGGGTTTAAAAGAACATACCCAATCATGGCAAGCGGTGAAGAAATGATCAGAGCCAAGAGTTCTATTCCAGAAAGGGTGGTTGGAAGAGATAAGATCGATGTAGTTCCTGAGATACTTAACAAGGTTTCTACGACTATGAGAATCATGAACGTAAAGTTTCAGTTGAAGCATTCTGGAACTGAAAGGCAAGTAGAAAAGATGAGCTTCGGTTGGGTCTTTCGTCAAGAACCTATGGCTACTCTCCATTAGTTTCATAAACCATCCTTCTGATGCGTAAATCCCTTCCATCATTGCCTCTGGCTGATGGAAGATTGGTCTGTCCCCTTCTGCATGGACGTACACTTTTAGAGTCTGCTCCATTAGCTCATAGCTCCTACAAGAGACCGATCATTAATAAACGTATATATTTATGTGTGGTTGCTTGTAGTAGATTATTTTTTTTGTTTACAGAAACACGATTTATAAATGTAAAATTAAACGCTGACGCAAGAATTAGTTCGGCCTTTACTACCCTTGTACTGTATATGCTTAGTTTGGTTAAACGTTAAACCTTTTGAATATGGATAGGTTATGGTAGAGAGGCGCATAAAGGGTATCATCCTTCTTAACCAAAGCTGCGTTCTTGATCTTGTCTCTAGCAGTTTTAAGCTCTTCGTCCACTTTTGATCCCCAACGAGGTTTCTATGAACATGAAATGGTAGGAAAACAGGGGAATCAGCAGAGTTATGAGTAATAAGAAATTGGAACTTATGGTAAAATTATTTGCATACAAGTGAATTTTTTGGATCGTTATGCCGCTTCCATAACATATTGTTCATCTGGGTTATTGATATGACAACTAAAGGTGGCTTTTTGATGTTCCTCTGGCTCTCCTCATGTTTCTTGTGGATTCGAGGATTTTTGGGTTGAAGAGAATGTACAGAACTAGTGGTTTCATTGCCTCTACTTCGCTGAGAAGCTTCTGTTTTGGGAGAATCATTCAGAAACTTGTGCTCAATACTCTTCAAGACTTTAGTTGTGCTATTATACGGTTTGAATCCAGACGATGCTTGTTGAGATGCCAGAAACGTTTTATTTTCAGCACTTTTGGTGGTACCATTGGATTCCCTGAACTCAGAAACGTTGCCGTTTCCATGTGAAACAATAGATAATGGAGCGAGTTCGAAATACTGAAGGCCTAAAACTAAGGCAACAACTAGAACCATGAGAAGAACAACTCTACAAGTTCTTGCTTGGCCTAGGAACCGCAAACCCCGAATTTGATCCATCACAACCTGAAAGGAGCTCAGGTTCCTATTGAACACAACGGATCTTTCCTGAAAACAATTATTAGTTTTGTCTAATTTACCCATCAAAATCCAAAACTAAATACACCCACCTGTAACTATTAGATGAAGTTTAAGGCTAAAAGCTTAAGTACTGATTCATGAGGACTGTTCCAGAAACAGAACTTGATCACTTACATGGACATCAGATCAGAGCTTGTTGATATATGGAGCTCTCTTATCCGAGCGTTTCTTTGAAGTTTCTTGGAGTGATCATCATCAAAAGAACTAGAAACAATAATTAACAAGCAAAGAGACAACAAGACAAGAGAATCGATGGCTTTTAAATTTGTACTATCAAAAGTCTTGACTAATTAAGTATACCCAAAATAACAGTGTTTGGATTTGATAAACCAACAAGGTATGATAATAACTTTCCTCGAATTTTCAGAAGACACCCCTTAATTATCTGTGTTTGATCAATTACGACCCATAGTTTTATTTTCCAAAAGCTGCCTCTGTTTTTTTTTTTTTCTACTACAATATCTTTCAACATTTAAACCACATCTACTATAACCATCTGTTTTCTTACACAAAGTATTAAGTAGTACTACAGCATATACTTATTACCACTTAGTAGTTGACTTGATTAATATATTTTTCTTGAACTTAATATCTTACACAATCCAAGAAAATGTATAAGAAGAGGGCACTCAAAACAATGAGCTTATAGTATTTGAAGTTTGAGTTCAGTGTCAGCGTTTGCATCCCGCACTCTCAGCTCTACAACGTGATCCATGCATTGGAAGATGTGAATCTCTGTATTTTCCCAAAGAGAGAAAATTAATTCCTCAGTATCATTGGTTTATATCTACCTAGATAAATTTTTATACTAAACGCCACATGAAATTCTCTATTCGTTATATATAACCTTACCGATCTTCCTCAACGTGTCCAATTTAAATGGTTTGCGAGGAACGAAACCATACCAATTGGTTAACTCAATCATGCTAACATACATACATGTAAAACAATATAATTAAATTTGATCTACAATATTTGTTTTAGTTGATGAATATACAATATTTTGTTTAAACTGATAATAATAATCACAACAATCAATCCTCCAATTTCCTCAACATGGCCGTTGGCTCGTGCCAACACCATCTTCCTCCTCTTCATCAACGTAAGGAGCAAGATTCAAGTAACAATTACCGTGGCAGTTATCGTAATTACCACCACCGTCATTAGGACTCTTATTAGAGCTATTGGCTCGCCACCGTGCACGGCATACCACGCAGATGCCTGGCCGCCGTCCACGACTCCTCCTCCACGCCAGCATACATTCTTCATGCACCTTGTTCTTGCAGACTCGGCACTTCACCACGGCGACTTCCTTCTCCTCGCCTCCACCATTTTCGCCGTTTATACTTTTACTGCCGTTAATATCGTCTAGACATATAGGACATGTTGCTGGCTCTTCGTCCTCCTCATTTTCCTATTCAAGATAACGAATGATATATGCATGTCAAAATATTTAAGTATCTACCCAACAGTAAAGTAAATTTCTATCAAACATTGAATTTTACATAGGATAATAAAAATGTAACGATAAATTTCTATGTAAAAAAAAAAGATTTAGATTTCTACATGTTTGTTTAATTATATTATTGTAACTGGACATGCAAAATTTCGAACCAATTTATCATGAATTTCTCATTAGGACAACAATTATCACATGGTAAATTTTTTTTACCATTTTACTGGTGGAGGAGGATGAGTTAGTAGTATCGCCAGGTTGAGAAGTGGCGGCCGAAAAAAGCTGAAGAAACCGTTGCTGGAGATGGAAACTGGCGAGGCAGTCAGGCAATGTTGGGGCGGAGAGCAGGCGGTAGAGAAGACATGGCCGGAGTCTCCGTTGCCTTAGACACTTGTCATCGAGAGGAAGGCCAAGAACTCGGATCAAGACAAACAAGATATGCTTGCACGGCTTCTTACGGTCGGGACAAGTACAAGTAGGTGTAGCCGTTAGCGTCACCGTGTAAACGTTACACGTTGCACCAAGAACATGAAAAGTTCCGCCATTTGGACGGTGGAGGAGACGAATTCGGTGGCGAAGAGCTCGAAGTATCCGATCTGCCACCGGTTGAGCCAAGAAATACCGTTGGTCACGGTTACTTACGTACGGAGATATTTGATTCGATCCGACAGATTCCATTGATTTTTTAAGAATTCCGTTACAACAGTTGGGAGATTATGCGATTACATATTTATGTTGTGGAGATAGGTACAGTTACAATCATACACGTCATGTATTTTTGTGAAGATTCTTGGTATGGAACGATGGCACACGTGTGGAATAACGGCGACGTGTAGGCGATCACAAAATACGGCGTTACACGGAATGCAAAAACCTCATATATTTTATTTTTTTTAACTCTTGATTTATTATTTATGGCAAATTATGAGAATTGTTACAACGACGATACTACTACCGACAATTCTATCCGACCTTTTTAGATTCACCACAGATTACAACCCTTTCCTGACGACACTTTCTTCTTCATGCGTAGAATCACGGCGAACGGCTCTAATTGTGCATTGTTATAGATCTCTTGTAAGCTTAACTCCTTAATCTGCAAATTAAATAAATCGCATTACCCGGGCGTCGAACCCAGGACCTCTTGGTGTAGAAGCTTTAAAAACCTCATATATTCGCGATCCAATTTAATTAATCTAAAATTCAGACGTCGTGTGGTTTTCCGGAAGTACAGTGGCACAGCATGCCATTTATTTTTCATTAATTTTTGTTTGAGAAACGTTGTCGTTTTGGGTTAAACCTTGTAAAAACTCAATCCTCTATCTTGCTCGCAGTATAACCTAAAATCAAAATCACAGTCGCATTCGTTTTGTCCGGCAAAAATGGCTTCTAGATGTCGATCTTTGTCTAAACCAGCGTTTACTATGTTTAGATCTGCAATGAACAAGCCCTCTCTTCGACCCAAATCGGCTTCATCGTTTCTGGGCGTCCCTCCTTCGCCTGGACTTTCGAGGTAACTCAACTGATTGATTGATTGATTTTTTTTTTCCTTCCCGACATTTGAGTAGTGGATTTGTATTGGTGAGCTCCCGATTCATGTATTTTGTTAAAGGGTTTGTTTGAATATTGATAGGCCGATTGCTCAGCTGGGATCACTTCAATCGTTGCTTCCATTGTATAGTGCGGTGGCTTCTGCTAGATTGACTTCGTGCCTCGGTATCGATTCACAGAATTCTAGGTCATTAGCTCAGGGTATGCTCTGCAGTGCGAATCCAGGAGTTTGATATTCCAAATCCAAATGTTTTGTGTTTAGTATATCTGTAAGCAACCTTTTTTTTAACTCTTTGATCTTTGCGTAGCTTCGAATTGACATGTTATTTAATCTTGGTTTCAAATTAGAGATTGGATTTTCGTAATTAAGATTCGCTAGCAGTTTATATATAGCCTAAGTAGATATTGCTTTTAGTTGGATAGCTCTGTGTAACTTTGATCCTCATCTTTGCAGAACTGACTATTGACATTCAAGAAATTCATAGAATTATCACAGATCTCGAACTTTTCTCTGTTTCAAACTTGCCCCTTCCCCATATTGGTTTGATCTTTGCTTTGCTTTTCCTTCACATTGTGCAGTTTGATTAGGACTATTGTGGTTTTCCGAGTTTCCTTTTAGTGAACTATTAGTGTTTGCCAGGGCATATATTCATTGGTCTCTTAAACACAAATAGGTTCTTGCTTATCAAAGAATTGTTTAGGCATAAGAATCTTGTATTGGCTCGAAGATGAAAGAGATGCCCTTTTGGTGCTGCTATTTCTTCATCTTCTCTTTGAACTTTTTGTAGTATTATTGATTGCAAAAAACAATTGAAACAAATATGTTTTGATGGCACATATACTAATCTATGTCTCTCATGAATCTTTGCAGAGCTCGGCCTAAGCGTGCCTCGATAATGAGACCAGACTCGAAGAAATTTGGATTCGTTTTAGATGAGATTCTCTGCATCTTTGCTTTTGCTGGTCTAATTCAATCACTCAGATCAGTTCTCTGTCATTTGGATGATAAAACACTCTCTTCTTTAGTTACATTCCAATTAAGCAACACAATGTCTTTTGGAACTTCTATGTTCAACACATCAAGATTGAACAATAATAGCCTCTTGTCTATGCTATTGGTTAAGCCATGATTTTGCTATTCAATTATTATTGGCTAGTTTTAGTTTTACTTGTTTGTGTGTATATGAGTTGTTATTCAAAGTTTCATTTAGGATGGATGATTAAATCTAGTGATCGTATATAACTATCAAAAATGATATCTTCAGCATGAAAGTTAAGCCATGCCCATGAGATACTCGAACCCTTCAGAAACTTTGTATGTAGTGATAATACGACTTGCCGTTTCTTATAATGCACAAAATTGTGTCGTAGATAAACGCCTTGCCGTTTTCTACAATGTAAAACGACGTGACGTCTACTGTGTTTTCAAACAATCCTTGTAGACACTCTCGGCAAATTTACAGCTCTTCAACACGAAGAGAGCAAAAAATGGAGAAGAAGCGTGAAGGAGTAATGGAAGCAATGAGTCGGATCGTATCAGATCCTTTCTACTTCCTCCATTTCATGGCCTTCTTCTCTTACCTTCCGATTCGTAGCTCCGCCGCACCCTACACTTCTCATCGACTCTTCGACAGAGAAATCCAAGCATTTCTAGCGTTCCTTATGTTTTCCGCTATCAAGGTTTGAGCTTACTTCGAATTTGATTAAATCGCTTGAGTTCTTCACTCCCTGATTTATTGATTTGTGCAAAATCGTATTGTAGATGGTGAGGGAGGAAACATGGGAAGCTTTTGTTGCGGATGGTTTACTCTACGCTAAGGTTAACACTCTCGCCGGTTTCAGATTCCGAATCAAAATTGAATTGTTAGTCAACTTTAAGATTCATGTGAAATCTGCTGATACACATTTATTTACTCGCCCCAGATCTTTCTCATAGCTGTTTCGTTGATTATGGATTACCGAGTGGCGATCTGGTTCTCTGTCATATTTTCAGGTGAGCTCAATTCCTATCTCTTTGATTAAATATGTGATATTGTATAGGAAATGCAGATTTCAGTGTTGATTGATCTTAAACCATTGATTGAGTCTTTCTATGTTTGATTTGAATGTTTCCTTTTGCAGTTATATATCTTTTAGCTCAACAGCCAGCATTTAGTAAATTAGGTATGGGATGATTCTTCAAGTTCTTGCTTTTATGTGGATTTGCTGAATCAAAAGTTGTATTCTTTGTAAATTGCGTAAACGTTTGCAGGAACTGCGAAGAAGCTAACACCTATGCAGTTGGAGGATTTGCTGTCTGATGGGAGCACAACGAAATACTGGTTGGTACGTGGGAACTACTGGCTTTATCTTTTAGATGATACATTTGAAAAAACCAAGGAGAAGACTTTGGGTAATGAAATGATTTAGTTGCAGAGAGCATAGCTTACACTCGGAACCCAACAAAGCATGATGTCTATGAAGCTAGATAATACCTGTAGCCTCCCCTTACTATTATGTCATCAAAGTTTGTCTTTCTTTTGTTTAGCTGTCAATCATTTAAGAAACAGAACTGATATGCAACAATTAGTAAAACAATGTCGGAAATTGAACTTTCATCTGCAAAAGGTTATTATTGAAGGCTTGTAGCTACTTTTATGATGATGTGCCTTTCTTATCTTTTGCAGATAGAATTCTTTGCATGTAGTTCTTCTAAGTGTGTTCGTTCAAGCCGATGCTTTCCCGAACTCTCTATCACGTAAGCTTTGTGTATGAATTAAGAAAGACCCCAATTTCACTGTTAGTCTTAAGACACACTCACTCACTCTTCTTCCATTTCTTCAGGTACTCGAATAATCTTTTGTCTTTCGGAACTGTTGATTTTGGACTTTTCCCTAATACTGCTGCTAAGTTCGGAATATCTCTTGCCGGTAATAATTCTTCACTAACTCATTAATTTGTCCAATCTCAAAAACACATCGAGTCTCTGTTGTGGAAGCAACTGATCATATTGTGTATCATATATAGGTGGAATGTCTCAGCTTCCAACATATATATTGTTCGAAAAGGGTGTTGAAGTTTCTCGGTTCCCAGACTTTTATGTCGATGCTGCACCTTCTTTACCCATAACCAAGGTTTACATGCTTTGACAAAATTGGCAAGAAATCAGTTTTTTAATGGCTGCATTAATTCTCTTAAGGCTATACGGCTGTAAATGGAATTTATAAAAGTTGTGTTTATGTGTGGAGGTGGACTGATTGGACCAATATATTTCTATATTTTATTTGTGGCGGAGAAAACGAATAACGGATATACAACTTTCTGGCCTTCGCTTGCAAGAGCAGTATGAAGAAATCAACACAACCATCAAGTTTATGGATTCGTTTGTTTGTTCTTCTATAATGGGCATTTTTAGTGAGGCTCTTCAGAGAAAACGACAGTATTATATTCTAGTGCTATAGAGAGATAGAAAGATTCTGTTGAAATCTTACGGGGTTTGAACTTCAGCGAAGAATTCTTGAATACCTTGGTAATGGAAATATCACTTTCTGACTTCTCTTTAGTTCCATTCGTTGTCATGAATTTTGAGGCTCATTTGCACTCGTACGTCTCTTATTGTGTTGTTTTCATGTGGTATATACCACAACCCATTTATAATCCTTTGTCCTATGTGTGGACTAGAAAATTACCAGTAAATAAGTTGGATCGTGCGTGCGGGCGGCTACTATTCCAAGTATCATATCTTTACCCTGCCAATTATATTTTTGCAAACATTCCAAAACTAATATGTAGTGAAAGCAACAAGTAATAAAGTATGGGGAGCCCAATAAGTAAGTATGTTGATATACAAAAGAAAGCATCGTTATCTTTAAAAGACGTGTGATTACGATTTAAGAGTTGAATGAACAAGAAACTGAATGGTAAAGATGATGCCTAGTGGCAACGTCTGCTCGTCATGTTCCAGAATCCTAATTTAGCCATTAAATAATTTGATTTGATCTCTTGACTCGGCTTTTGCATCTCACTTTCTCGTGTCTATCGTTGTGTTTACATCATAAATCATACTGTACTTTAATCTAACTAATAACTATAATATATATAAATCCAACTAATATCAGGAATACTATTCAATGTATAAGGAAATAAAAATGTACCAAAATAAATAATAATAATAATCAGTTTCTCAAAACGCGGTCAATAAATTAAAATCATTTAATATCGTATAACTCGTAACGGACCATTTATATCATTCTATCTAACTCATCAACGGTTCTTGACCGAACACTCCCGGAAACTCCGTATCTGCACCGTCCAAATCTCTGACTTGGGACCGCTCAACAACACTCCTACATAATCTCGTTAGTTTGACAACCAATGAGGTATATCCACGTAGCCAGTCTCACCATGCTCCGCCACTACATAAGATTAAAGTAATCACCTCTTATAAATTGAGTCCCACCATTTGCCCCAAAATTTCCTGACATTTTCTCTGTTACACGCTTTCCTTCTTTCTCCATTTTTTTTAATTTTCTTACGATTTGTGAATCTCTTTTACATATTTTCCGGCGATGGCGTCAACGTCGGGAGAAATGGAGCAATTGACATCAGGAGCGAGCAATCGGATCATTTTTATTTCGAGAACGCTTAGGAAATGTCTCGTCTTCGTCTTCTCTCTCGTACTTTCTCTTCTCCTCGTTCTCCGTCTCCGTCCTCGTCGCCGTGTCTCGCCTCTTTCATCGCCGGAGGAGGGGGAGGAGGCTGTTCCTGCTCCTTCTAGGCGATGGAGGCGGAAGATGGCATGGAAGCTGGAGGAGGAAGACACGGCTAGACGTCGTTCCTTGGCTGAAGGCGTTGAGATGGCCGGAAATGAAGAGATCCCTTGTCGTTGGAGCAGTTCTTTGTTTTACGGCCGTCGTGGTAACGCTTTGTTCTCTCGGTCGTGGTTGCCTCTCTCCGGCGAACTCAGGTAATTAGCCTCTCGATTTTTGCATGCACAAAATTAGAATCCTCCGGTTAAGTTCTTAATCAGAAGTTTTATCTAACCTTGGTTTCGATTTTGACTTTGAATTTTTGAATTTTATTAATCTCTTCAGGGGGATTTTGATTATTATTCATGGACTCAATGAACACAGGTGAAAAATCAACACTTTTTTATTTTTATTTTCAAATTTAATTCGTCTTACTAAATTCTCTATTATTCGATCAATCTCTCAATCTGTGAATTTCTTAATGTCCAGTGGAAGATATTCTCAATTCGCTAAGCAGCTAAACTCGAGTCATTTAGGTGTATACGCTATGGACTGGATTGGTATGAACACGAGCTTGTTCTGTTTCTTCTTCATTTTCATATTTGTTCTGAAACTGTGGGTCTGAACAGGTCGCCATATGTTTGGTTTGGTCCATAACTGTATTAGGTCACGGTGGGAGTGATGGTTTGCATGGCTATGTTCCTTCTCTTGATTATGTTGTTTCCGACACTGTAAGTTTACCATCTTACAAACATTACTTCTTCTTTTTTTTTTTTTGTCTTTTTTGGTGATGAAACTAGAGAAATGTTCCATTTGAAGTTGTTGATTTAGTGATTTGGTGTCTTGATTTGAATTCTATAGGAAGCTTTCTTGGAAAAGATTAGGTATGAGAACCCGGGGGTCCCCTGTTTTCTCTTTGGTCACTCCACTGGTGGAGCTGTGGTTTTGAAGGTACTTCATTTCGTACCTTTGAAGCTCTGTTCAAGCTTTTATTGTTTACAGTGTCCTGACATAAGGGTCTACTTTGTGTTAATATAGGCAGCTTCATCTCCCTCTATTGAAAATATGTTAGCTGGAATTGTCCTGACATCGCCTGCACTTCGTGTCAAACCCGCTCATCCCATTGTTGGGGTAAGTCGTCTCCTTTGCAGTATTCAAGTTAGATGCTTTGTCATTCTAGGCCGGAGAACTTTGTGGGTGATCATTAGGTCATATGTTTCTTTGTAGGCAATAGCTCCACTCTTTTCATTGGTCGCCCCAAGGTTCCAATTCAAAGGAGCAAACAAGAGAGGCATTCCGGTCTCAAGAGACCCTGAAGCTCTCTTAGCCAAGTACTCTGATCCATTAGTCTACACTGGTCCAATAAGAGTCCGAACAGGCCATGAGATACTTCGCATAACAGCTTACTTGACCAGGAACTTCAAATCTGTTACAGTGCCTTTCTTTGTTCTCCATGGTACAGCGGACAAAGTCACTGATCCACTAGCTTCACAAGATTTGTATAATCAGGCACCATCAGTTTTTAAAGACATCAAACTCTATGATGGTTTCTTACACGACCTTCTCTTTGAACCTGAGCGTGAAGAAGTCGGTCGTGATATCATAGATTGGATGATGAAGCGGCTTGACGATGTTAACGGATCAGCCGTTGGCCTCTGGTAAAATATCAAATGGCGAAATATCAGAGGTCTTCCTCTTCTCTAGGTAGTTGTAATACAAATGGCGTGTTTGTAAAATCAGAAGCCGAATGTAGGAAATACAAATATGTATAATGGGTTTAATCTTTGAATTGTTTGATTATTGAAATTTTCCTTACAATGGATGAAGATAGATATGCATGTGAATGCATACTTCATAAGTATATATTATCATTGATTTTGTTTTCCTTGCTCATTTTGTTTCCTAACAATGGATGAAGATAGATATGGCTTCCTTACAATGGATGAAGATGGATATGGTTTCTTAGTATAAAGAGAGCATGTTAGTGATTTCTCAGCTGTTTGACATGGCTAGTATGTAAATTATAATATGTGTTGGTGGTAAAAATTAACAGATGTAGCTAGAGACATGATATATAGTGTATTAGTGTGGAGACTCAGAGAAAAAGGTCGTCGTTTAGTATATCTATATAGAAAGGATAACCAGAGAAAGTCATGGAGTAAAATCTTCTTAATCCACACGTAAGAATTGATTTTTCTCTGCTAATGGTACTATGCCACTATTCTTCTTAAATGGAATGATATTTTTGGTTATTTGCTCTAGTTCCCATAGTCCAAGTTACGTTTTAATTACCTTATAATGTCCTTTTTAACTAGAGGTTTCTTGGTTCCTCAAATTTGTGTTCTTTAATTACAGTTTATATGTATGTATGTATGTATGTATGTTCAATGTTTCTTGTAGTTTAATCTATCTGTCATAGAATGCATGATAACAATATGCAAATCTCTATTCATTCGCTGAAAAGAGACATCTACTGGAGGATTATCAGTAGAGAATGTGTTGTCCAAAAGTTTTGAAATGGCTGAGAGGTCAAGATTTATGGACCAATATTCTCTAATTTTAGGCAAAATTAAAGAAGTTTTGACATGATCATTTATTTTTGCAGACAATACCATGTATACATTATTTTACATGTGAGTGAAGTTGGTGGAAAATCATTAATCATCAAGCAATTTACAGTAGTCCGGTAAACAAATGATCGTATATAGCATTTTCTTGCATTATATATATTCTTACATAAAAAATATAATTTTGTCAAATGTCTTCAGTAGCTGAAGTTTATTTTTTTCAAGATGTGAATGGTTGCACTATTTAGATTGTCTACCAATATTGTGTAAGACATATATTAATTGTTTGTTTGATGTTAACGTATTTATCATTTGAATAGTATAATTTTGTATGGTCCTATTATTTCAAAGTTGTAGTTTTATTAAAGAATTTATATCCTCATCAGTTTTCGTTTCTCATTGAATTCAGTACCACTTGATATGTAGCTTTTTGTTTTTTTTGGGGTATATATGTTAAGATTCTACAAACTTTTAAAAGAGGGATACAACCTATTCCACCCAACAACAGAGACATATATAGGGAAAACCCCAAAAGAAAAAGAAACTCAAAAGAAAGAAACCAAAAATGGAAACTTAAGTTGGAGCATGCATGTGAGATTTCAAGATTTCGTAATTATATAAATATACAAAAACATTGTAAACTAAAAAAAAACCTTTCACGAGAATATATAGGTTAATAATAGAATTCTTGTAACGTCGAAAATTATACAGAAGAATAATTTTCTAGTTCTGATTAAGGAAACCTGTCATAACTACCGTGGGACACACACTCCATTAACAAGTGAACAAAGCCAATCTGACGGTGTAGAAGATAACACGTGTCTTGACTTAACGACAAACATAGATTCTCCTAACCACCCTTATTAATGTTTGAATCGGGGTATTCATTCGCTTTGAAAATAAACCGGTTTAATAACCGGAAAATAAAAACATGTAAACCGATCTAATTTATGTACCCAGTGTAAATTTGGTGCTAGAAGCGAACTCGTATTCACTTTTTTTTTATTTTTTTTTTCTTTTTTTTTTTTTTTTTAAAGTTGACAATAGTAAACACCATAGTCAAATTACAAAAACATATTAAAACTATACTAGCAAACAAACGAAACTTTCAAAGGTAATTTTTTCAATTAGCTATATATTTTAACATCAATAAGATAGCAAACTAAATGACTCAAATTGTATTCTTATAATCAAGTTATAACATGCTTAAACAAAGATAAGTGTTCTACTAAAAACCATTAACACATATTGTTAAAAATGTCAATTTAAAAAAAAAAACTTAAATCAAATTGATTAAAAATCAACCGTCCATCAATACAAGAACTAAAAAAAGTAGGAAAAGTTAATCTGGATACTTATATTGGACCTTACCGTAAAAAACTAAAGTTAGTGAAGTGTTTGTTGAACAAATCTATTATTAAAAATAGTGCGTTGATGATATTTCTCCAAAACATGATGTATCATGTATGTACGAGCTGGAGTTTAATTTTTAAAGCATGAGGCAAGGCCCTTGCTACTAAAAATATACTAATCAAGAGTCAAGACCGTACAGAAATATGTAGATACATTTTAAAAATTTAAATTCTTAAATATATATATATATAAATTGGAATCCTATTGAAATTGAGCCTTCGCCATTTACATGAACGCAACAGATAAACCAAGATCTAATCTATTTCGAGATATAATATTGAATCATATAAATAATTACAAAAAATGACAATATTCAGTAAGTTGGAGGGTAGTGTTATTTTCACTATATAACTCGTGTTATTTTAGTTGCTTGCTTTCTAAAATCTTGATCTTTTTTAAAAAAAAACATTTTCTATAATGCAAGGTTTAACAATCAAGGAGAATTAAAGTAGATTATTTTATTGTCAGGAAAAACACTATTAGTTCAAAAAAAAAATTATTGTCAGGAAAAACATTTATATTATATTGTCTCTACAAAAGCAAAACCTAGGCAGGCCACTCACTCATTTGCCCTAAAAGGACTGTGACCCTTAATTTCACGTAGATAATTTTACGTTCCAAACTGGGAAATATAGAGTTAGTGATTTTTATGCTATCTTCGAAACTGTGATACCTACCGGAAAGGAAAAAACTGTGTTAGCAATTGAATCCGTGTTACGTTGCTCGTTACTCATCGAACAAGAACAGAACCTTGCCTCCACAACACCATTTCTCCATTGCTTTTTTTCCCCAGAAGATCTCCTTTTCTCCATGGACGCACCTGAAGCCCGCCTCCTCGGAGGGTACGTACGGTTTGTGAAGTTTTCCTTCTTCTCTTCTTCGACTTGCGGTTCTCAATCTTTTTTCAGCCTCACACTTCTCTTTGTGCAGGCTCTTCTTCTGTTGGCTTGAGCTTGTACAGGCTCCAAGAACCATGTTGAGAGGTTTTTGGGTGGTTTTCCTTCTGTCATGCATCGCTTTGCCCGGCGTTTTACCGGATCAGGTATTAGAAACATTTCTTTGAAATTTTTCTGATTCGTCTGAATTTTTTTTCTTAGTTGATTGTTGTATTATATTACGTATTAACGTTTTATTAGTTGATTCTCGTATTATTTGCTGAAATTTTTCTTCTGATTATCTTTTAGTTGAATATTGTATTATTTTACTAATATGTCTGAATTTTTTTTAGCAGATAACTTCAGATGGTGATATAGTGGAATGCGTAGACAAATTCAGACAACCAGCATTCGAGAATCCACTTCTAAAATATCACAAATTACAAGTAATTTATTCAATTTTTTTTAGTTTAAAAAAAAACTTTTATTTATGTAATTTATGATTTATATCAATATTAACCAATTTTTTGTTTTGTTTTAATAAAAATAATACAGGATGTACCGTCTGAAATACCCAAGATGATCGGAACTCAAAAGGGGAAAAGACAAACACAAGAAGCTTATGTCAGTACTACGAAATGCCCAGACGGAGCTATCCCGATCCTATTGTCCGGTCATGCCAAAAATCGGACACAACCTGAGACCAAAGATTACCACTCCGGACATGAGGTAATAAATTCTACCATATAAAACATTCAAACAACTAAAAAAAAAAAAAGTAATAGTAATAATCAAAGACTCGATTGGTATGGTTCAAAAGAACAGTCCTAATTCTGCACATATAAGAATAAGTAGCAAACATGAATTATAATCAAGTTACTTTAATAATCATGTTTAATCTTTGACTATATGTAAATTTGATAAATAATTTGAAACATGCAATAATTTCTTACACCCATAATCTGTTCTATTTCTATCAAACATCTATTTGGTTTAGTAGCCAATAATCATTACAAGAACATTTCCCATCTTTAAAATGATGAAAAACGATTCAATTTCCCTCAACATAATCTCTCTACCATAAACCAGAAACCATCAATACACAGTACAGCTATCTCTTTAGTTATTGAACCCAAACCGGTTTAGGTTTCACCGTGCCTATAAGCCCAAATGCCACGTTCTCTGACTCGTTCCTTTAGAAAGGAGAAGAGTTTTTCTAAAACACAATTACAAGAAAACAAATGTGGGTAATAAGAGCCCATTTAAATATTCATAAAGGCCCAATTTAAGAAACATACCCAACACATTTCACAGAAGAGATTTAATAGCCTCTGTACCGAGATTACAGTTTTGCATATGTGATGACATAAGACTATGATCCTGCATCCTATCAGATACCTTTCTGCAATCATCTACCTCAACCCATCCAGAAAGCGATCCGCATACACATAAGCAACTAAACTACACTCTAACATCATCCCCAGTCTTGATCTAGTGGCCCAAGAATGCCAATTGCTTCTTCCCAGAAACAAGTTATCCGACAAAGAGATTATATAGTGTGAACTTTTGTTTTTTTTTTTTTTTTGTGTGCACAATATAGTGTGAACTTATCTGATTGAAATCCACCAAAAAAACCATGTCCAATAAAAATCTTGTTGCTTCTTTAGGATAACCCCATTTGCATACACATACACCGAGTTATCATCAACGTCCAAGTGACAACATTTAGTTAGTGAACCAACCGAGTAAATTGAAAACCCCATTTGCATACACATACACTGAATAAAATTGAACTGAAATCTACGATCTAAGATAGAATCTCTAACTAGTTACAACGACATAAAGCTTCTGATGCGGAACCACTTTGAGAAGATGAGTAATATAATGCTGTTGTTACTGAAACCGGACATTAACCATCAATAACCGAAACAACCCAATCTCCCAATAGAGCGTGACTGAGTTTTCCCCAGTGGTAAATCGCCTTGTGTGATAAAAGACTTTCCGCTTCTTTTAAAAATAATTGGGTAGGACTTTTACATGATGAAAACTTTGAGATTTTGAGATAAATTTAGGGGCCATTTTGCAAAAATTTAGAATTCGATTGTATGTTCATCATTTTTAATAACAAACAAAAAATACACCTAATTCAACTTTGTGTTTCTATAATTTATTTAAATTAATCATTTAAAAATTACTAACTTGACGAAAGCCCTTCTAACAAAAAAAGAAAAGAGAATGCCATACTTTGCAAAAGTTAAATATAACAGTACAAATGCCTAAGTATATATTCTTATTAATAATTAATTACTGGTTGAATACATGCAGTATGCGATCGTATCCTATGAGGATAACACGAAGTTGTACGGAACAAAAGCCGTACTCAACGTTTGGGATCCAGCCATAGAAGAAGGAGCAGCAGAGATGTCTCTAGCGCAAATTTGGATTGCATCAGGCGATTATGAGACCGCTGATCTTAACACCATTGAAGTGGGCTGGCAGGTACGCTTACTTTCATTTTTAACATCTTAATTTTGTTTGTTATTAACATACTTAGTTTTAATTATATATGTAAAACAAACGACTAAAACAGTAATTTGTTTTCGTTATTCAAATATGCAGGTTCTGCCTCAGATGTATAACGACATCAGGCCTAGGTTATTCCTCTTTTGGACGGTACGTTTCATTCTTTATCACTATTACTTCATACTATATTCTACTTCTTTTTTTTTTTCCGTTTGATAACGTTCCAGCACATAAATTATAATTACATTTATTGTTTGCAATATGGATTTCATATTTAATTACTTCAGAGCTAGTAGTAATACTGTTACAACTTTAAATAGATAAAAGATTAAACGGACCACTACTACTATAATTAAGTCTATAACTGAATCATCGAGAACTCTTTATAGATCCACTCAGCCTTCCTTTTTTATCATCATTATAATTATAAGAAAAGACAACGGGATTAAGTATATATTGTTTTTTTTTTGGGCAAAAAGTATACATTGTTAAGAAAATAATAGTGAACCAAAAAATGACTGGTTTGTTGAACTGAGTCTTTTATAGTTTTATGTGGTTAAGTTGGCAAACTGTTACAAGTTATATCTAACTACTAAATTAAAATTAAAGAAAAACTTAAATAACAGTAAAATAAGTATTTAAAATCCACACTTTTTTTGTTGTTGTTTCACACACTTGTATTCAAAATATAATATCAATATAAAAATTGAAAACGAAATTTAGAAGTAACTTCTATAACTGATCTTATCAGTCAAACTCTTAAATAAATTTATATCAAATTTGGTAAATTTTAAATGTAGTTGTTCTTTTACTAGGTTTTTTGCTGTTTCCAAAATACTTATTATTGTAATACACTGGTACTATAATATGATTTTGAATTATTTATGCTAATAGCAATGTTTTTGTTTTACAGGGTAATACATACCGAAGTGGGTGCTACAACGTCCGCTGCTCTGGTTTTATCCAAACCAGTGGCAGTATCGTCGTTGGAGGCCCAATTGCCCCGGTTTCTTCTTTAGGAGGTATCCAGACCGAACTTACAGTTTTCGTGTGGAAGGTTAGTAATTTTAAGATTTTATTTTAAAAATATGTTTTTGATAAAAATAAAAATTAATTAGGAAAAAATAGTTAACGAATATATTTAAGGTTCAATAAAAGTTAAATAATTAATGTATATATTAAAGGTTTAATTAGAAAATTTGTAAATCATTACATGCACGAAGATGATTGAACTCACCATTCTCTAGTAAGATTTTATGTATATTTACATTGAATTTTTAAATCGTATGTGAGAAGCTTATAATTTCAACTTTGTTAGTATAGATTTTATGTATATTTACATTTTTCTTATGAAAATATTTTTAGACATAGATTGTTAACTAACTAACTAATCAAAATACAGGATCGGAAATCAGGAAACTGGTGGTTAAGTTTAGGCGTTAGCATAGTAGGATATTGGCCAGCCGAACTGTTTACTACACTTGCTGATCACGCAGCCTACGTACAATGGGGCGGTGAGATCCTGAACAAGCAGCCTTTAGGACGACACACGACGACCCAAATGGGTTCCGGGCATTTTCCAGACGAAGGTTTTGGGAGAAGCGGTTACTTCAGAAACTTGGAATACGTTGATTACAACAACCGGTTAGAGTCAGTCCCAGTCCAAAAGTTGGGCATCATAGTAACTAACCCAGATTGTTACAAGGTCAAGCATCTATTTTCAGATGATTGGAAGACCCAGTTCTACTATGGGGGGCCAGGGTTTACCCATTCAGGAGCTACATTGGCACTTGCCTCACGCTCTCTATTTTTCGTTGTAGTTGTATTACTATTTCTTATCGTTTAGTGTATTTTTTTTCTTAATTTATAACTCTTCTGTAATATTTAGAGAGAGGAAAAAAACAATTTGGACAATGGAAGGACTGTATGTGTATGGGTTGATAGAGAAATATTTAGCTAACCACCACACCATGTAAAGTGATCGGTTAATAAAGTAAGTACACGGTAATCGGTTTCTATCTATTACAGACAAGTAAAGTTATAATTTGACACCTTCCGTAACTTCTGTAATATTCAAAGGTGACATATTTTAAAAACAAATTTAATCAAATGAAATATTTTTCTTTTAACAAAAAAGACAAGTACTAAACAGCTAAACAAAAAAAGGCATATTTTCAAGTTTTTTTTGGATGATACCCAAAAAAGAATCAACTCAGCAATTCATAATCCTGCCTCTTCTCTCTATTTCCATCACCCTTAAGGTATGGTTCTCGCTCACCACCTTTCCCAACGCCTTAATTAGTCCGGAGCTAAGTGAGCAATTTGAGCTCCTCTTTCTCTTAATTTATTTTAGGGATCTCATATATATATATATATATATATTAGATTTTGGGTAGTATATATCCTTTTATAATGAGTATTTTTTTTCAATTGTTAAAGAAGAAGAAAAAAATCAAAGTTGGATTGTTTTGTTTGTTTGGAAAGATGACTGCTATTTCACACATGGGATACGGATACCACCAACGTAACTGCTGTCTGGTCTCCACGAATAACGCAAACGTTTCTCACTACTCACTCATCATCTTTCCTAACGCATTAATTAGTCCGACGCTAAGTTGAACATGCAGTTTGTGCCATTTGGGTTCCTCCTCCCCTTTCTCTTGTATCGTATTTTTGAATATAGAATCGACTTTTTTTGGGCTATTTATCCTTTTATGATGAGGTTTTAATTCTTTACTATTTTGTGATACTCATTATATATATCTTTTAGTTGTATTTTTGTTAAGAAGAAAATATGTTCTTTAGCTTTAGTTCTTTAGAAAAAAGTATTTTATATGATTTGGTGTGTTTTTTAAAAAAAATCTCAATTTAATACCACAAGATTTTATTTTGACCATAATGATTCTTCCAGATTTGCCACCAATAAATATTTTGATTATATATAAATCAGCTTCTTTACTATTTTTGATACTTTGCAAAAAAAAAAAAAAAAAACTATATTTGGAGGTTAATATATTTAGTAGAAAGGAGTGGATAACTGAAGTGACTGAACAAATAATATATTCAAGATCATTGAGTTATTATGTTTTTAAAAGCAATACCATATAGTAAAGTAAGTTTTATTTCGATAAATTTATTATCTATTACAATTGAAAACCAACAACATAAAAGTCAATCATAACATAATTCGTCGCTTAAATCACCAATTATAAGATTTTTTTTTGATTTTACGCTCTACTGCAACAACATTTTCCAGTGCTCTGATTTGGAACACAATGTCCGGCACGATAATGTTTCATTGCACAGTCAATATGGCATTCATAATCTTCATAATATCCTATCTCACACTTAGCAAAACAGTTCGGTGGTCCTACACATACAACCCACAACAAATTATATATTCTTGATTTTATATTTTAGAAAAGAAAAATATTTACTATTGGTCTTAAACTTCTTAAGCATAGTTACATAATGATAATAAGATAGAAGAGAACTCGTATGTAATAAAAATCATACCTGCTAAAACATTGATGTCGGATAACGAAATTGTCAATATTATGACAAGAAAAAACGTGACAGAGATTTTTGTGATATTCATTATATATCCCTTTAGTTTTATTTCTGTAATGAAGAAAAAATGTTCTATTGCTTTATAGTTGTTTAGAAGAAGCTGAATTTATAGGATTTTGTGTTTTTATAAAGAAAACTCAATTTAATACCCCAAGATTTTATTTTGACCAAAATGATTCTCTTGAATTTGCTACTAATAAATATTTGGAAATATATATACATATATATAATTGAATCTCTACTATTTTTAATGGCAAGTTCATGGAAATATATTATATACAGTAGAAAAACTATTATAGAAATATATTTCTGGTCACAATATTTTATAATTTGGTAGTCATTTAAATTTGATAAGTATTTTATAAAATCAAACTTGAATAATAATAGAAAAAGTTATAATAAAATCCAGCAAATTAATTTATGTGTTAATTTATCATGAAGGAAAATCTCAGTGGTTTAATATTTTTAACGAAAAATTCAAGTGACCAGTAAAAAGATATATAATTCACAATAAGCAAATTGATATCCATATCTGGACTTAACGTAGGACTTTCTTTTCACATTGAGAGTCTGTTTTTTGTTGTTGTTGTTAAGATTTCTTCGAGTCTCCAACCAACAGTTTTTAACTGAATATTCTTGGAGATTTATTCTTAAAGGTTTTTTTCTGCATGAAGCGTCTCATGGTAATACTTGTAAACGCAAAGCATGTGATGTGACGAGAATGTGTGAAAGCGAAATGTCTCAGAAGAGACAACAATACATATACATACTGTGCTCAATTCAATTGCTCACCACAACATGAATGGAGACACAATTCTGCCTAACAAACACGCAACTATGATACCCAAAAAAAGAATCAAACTCAGCAATCCATAACCCTACCTCTTCTTTCTATTCCCATCACCCTTCAGGCTTCAGGTACGGTTCCGAGGCTAAGTGAGCAATTTGAGCTCCTCCCCCTTTCTCTTATTTTATCTCTTTTGTATATATACTTGACTTACTTTGGGCTATAGTATTTACCCTTTTATAATGAGTCTTTTTTTTTTTTCTTCTATTGTTAAAGAAGACAAAAAAATCATAGTTGGATTTTGTTTTTTTTCTTTGGAAAGATAACTGCTATTTCACACATGGGATACCAACGTAATAATGCAAACGTTTTGGTATTCTTTTCTATAATTATATATTTATATTCTTCTACCTTATTGCAAAATAGAAAAAAAAAACGAGCAATGAACCCAAAATTTTGAGTTAAATAACAATCATAACTATTTTTAATGCGATTTAAAGCCACATCTATATTCTTGATTGTTAAATTTCACTTAAAAACTGTATCTATAGTTGAAGGATGTTAATATACATTAGTAGATTAAACGCGGTATAATACATTTTTAATGTACATTTGGACGTTATTACTTATTACTATGGTGGATTAAACATTTGGATAATTAAAGTGAAGGAACAAATAATATATATTTGATTCTATTTTGTTGAGTAATTATGCTTTAACAAAAGCAATACCATATAGTAAAGTTACTTTTATTTCGATGAATTTAGTACACATTCTATTTGAAAATCAACAACTCAAAAAAAAAAAAAAACATAATCCATCCCTTAAATCACCAATTATAAGAAAATAATCAATTTTTATTTTGGGAAAATTGATTTTAAAGGATGTTTTTTTTTAAATTTGTCCATTTATGCCTTCTTTTTTAAAGTTTGGTATATTAGGTTTTAGAATAGGAAAATGCTCAATTATATCCTTACTTAAATTATATGGAAATAAACATCAAACTTTTTGAAAAAAAAAACATCAAATTAGGAAATTTTCTGTAAGAAAAAAAGATATTCTTAAATCTAAAAAAATCAAAAACATATATTATTTTTCCTTTTAAAAAAAAACTCTTCTCATTTAATATTGTAAAAAGGTAAAAAAAACCAAAGATAGACTCGACGATGTCAAAATTTTCTGAAAAATAAAAACTTCATTTGTTCGTGATTATCAAACCTAAACTAGGAAGATTGTTTGAGACTAGCTCTTTGATATTGTTAGTTTTTAATTTTTGGTCAAACTCAAGGACTGTATATACACCTAACGTTCACTCAAAATAAAAATATATGATTTCTAGATATTAGGGAATACAAAATATTTTGTTTCCTTTAATTTAGGATTCAATTTCCTTGTATAAGATAGTTCTAAAAATTCGTAGAATACATTTTCTAAAATATGAAGAACGAAGAGTAAAGTGTAGAATTGATGATCTAACTTTTGCAGAATATAGGGTAAAGTGTAGAAAATAAATTCTAAAATTTGTAGAATATAGAGTAACATGTAGAATACATATTCCAAATTTTGTA